TCCGAGGATATTTGGGCTGCCTCCGGAGTCGCAGTGTCTTGGGCCGCCGAAAGGTGGGTGATGTGCGGATCTTCTTTTTTTGTGGCTGTGGACACCTTTCAACACTGCCTTCTTGGCCTTTAAAGCCTTCGCTTTGGCTTCGGCTTTAGGCGGGGCAGGAGCTTCCGTCTTCGCTTTCGGCGCCATCTTGTGAAAAGGGCCCAACAATAAAATTTTTTAAAATCTAGAAATATTTTATAAACTTGGATAAAGAAATAAAATCTGCATTCTGTTTTAAATATTTTTCAAATAGTTCTACAACTACAGCTGTCGTTTTTATGTTAAAAATTCTACAATGACTTTTATATTTTATATTATGCAATTTACATCATTATAAAATAAACCATTGGCAATGTATTTATTTAATACAGTGTTCAATGTACAAAAGTAATGTAATATGTTTTTGGCAGAACTACGACAATATGAAAATATACAGAGTAAAGTGGAGAAGCTTTTCATCACTTCTTCCTTTCCTCCCTTCCTTCCTTCCCCTCCATCCACCCCCATTCCCCACCCCCCCAAGAGTCTTGCTCTGTCACCAGGCTGGAGTGCGGTGGCACAATCTCGGCTCACTGCGGCCTCTACCTCCCAGGTTCAAGCAGTTCTACTGCCTCAGCCTGCTGAGCAGGTGGGACTACAGGCATGCTCCACTGCGCCCAGCTAATTTTTTGTGTTTTCAGTAGTGACAGGGTTTCACCATGTTGGCCAGGATGGTCTTGATCTCTTGACCTCATGATCCGCCCTCCTGGCCTCCCAAAGTGCTGGGATTACAGGTGTGAGCCACCATGCTTATCCTACTTTTGTAATTTTTTTTTGAAAAGTATGTGCAATGGCTTAAATGTGTCCCTCATAGTTCACATGTTGGAACATAATCTCCAACACAACAGTGTTGGGAGGTAGGTCTTAATAAGAAGTGATTAGGTTATTAGGGCTCTATCCTCATGGATGGATTAATGGTATTATTTTGGAAATGAATTAGTTATCTAGAGAGTGGGCTTGCTATAAAAGTTCAGGCCAGGTGCGGTGGCTCATGCCTGTAATCCCAACACTTGGGGAGGCCAAGGCTGGCAGATCATGAGGTGCAGAGATTGAGACCATCCTCGCTAAAACAGTGAAACCCTGTTTCTACTAAAAATACAAAAAATTAGCTGGGTGTGGTGGTGTGCACCTGTAGTCCCAGCTACTCCGGAGGCTGAGGCAGGAAAATAGCTTGAACCCAGGAGGCAGAGATTGCAGTGAGCCTAGATCATGCCACTGCACTCCAGCATGGGCTACAGAGCGAGACTGTATCAAAAAAAGAAGTGAGTTTAATTCTCTATTGCTCTCATCATGTGATGCCTTCCACATGTTATGATGTAGCAAGAAGGTCCTCACCAAATGTTTACCCCTCAACCTTGGACTTCCAGCCTCCAGAATTTTAAGAAGTAAATTTCTCTTCTTTATAAATTATCCAGCTTGTGTTATTCTATTGTAGCAACACAAAACAGAGCAAGACAGTGTGTGTAGGTGAGTAAATAACATCAACAAGAAAAAGATCAGAAAGAGTAGAATCCATACTGTTAGCACTAGATATGCCTGAAAAGTAAAATTAGAAGTGATTGGAAGGGGGCCAGGTGCAGTGGCTCACGTATGTAATCCCGGGACTTTGAGAGGTCGACGCGGATGGATCACCCGAGGTCAGGAGTTCGAGACCAGTCTGGCCAACACAGTGAAACCCCATCTCTACTAAAAACACAAAAATTATCCAGGTGTGGTGGCAAGTACCTATAGTCCCTACTATTTGGAAGGCTGAGACAGGAGAATTGCTTGAACCAAGGATGCAGAGGTTGTAGTGAGCTGAGATCACACCACTGCTCTCCAGCCTGAGTAACAGAGCGAGACTCCATCTCAAAAAAAGTGATTAGAAGGGGATTATTTTCCCTATTTTTACTATGCATCCCTTTGTATTGAATTTAAAGATTTTACAGTGAGCATTTTTGAATTTAAAAACAAAGAAGAGTATGTAGTTATTTTTTCTTGCCTTTCCCTTATATGAATTATCTGTACCTGTGCTTGACCCACTGAGTAGATAATTTTCAGCAAATTTCATTGGAACATAGTAATGGATAGATTTCAAGAGTTACATGATTTTAATGTGATTTGCAATTTAAAGACTTTGGTGCTCCTTGTCTTGTAGCACTTGGCTTAAATACATACAGTCTTTAACTTTTGATGGTTTGATTTATGATTGTTTTGACTTGACCGTAGGTTTGTCAGGGTATTAAATGTATGTTCTACATATGATATTTTTTATTTATGATGAGTTTATTGGGATACAATCCCATTGTAGGTTCAGGAGCATCTGTATTACCTTTTTGGTACCTCTGAGGATTTTTTTTTTTTTGATTACCAAAAGAGCCTTCTAGTTGTTATCACATTGCCTTATTTTATTTTATTATGTTATCTTCTACTCTTACTTATTTTGATAGTTAGTTTTTTATTTTTAATTATTTTCTCTCCACTAAAATATAAGATTGATGAGAACAAGACCATTCCTTGGTCATTCTTGTGGCACAGGGCCTAAAATAATTATTGGAATATAATAAATAGTTAATAAATGTGTATAGAATGACAGAAATGATACATATTCTTACAAGTTCAGGAACTTATGAAGCCACCCAGGGATGGTTCAGCTATGGTGAACTGCACTTAACACTGGATGGGTGATAATTTATAGGAGTCTAGTAATACATTTATTAATTTATTGTGGTAGACATAAATAGTATAAAACAAAACTGTATGTGCAATACATTTTTTCAAGCGTTACTTTTTTTTTTTGAGACGGAATTTCGCTCTTGTTACCCAGGCTGGAGTGCAATGGCGCCATCTCGGCTCACCGCAACCTCCGCCTCCTAGGTTCAGGCAATTCTCCTGCCTCAGCCTCCTGAGTAGCTGGGATTACAGGCACGCGCCACCATGCCCAGCTAATTTTTGGTATTTTTAGTAGAGACGAGGTTTCACCATGTTGACCAGGATGGTCTCAATCTCTCGACCTCGTGATCCACCCGCCTCGGCCTCCCAAAGTGCTGGGAGTACAGGCTTGAGCCACCGCGCCTGGCTGCTTTTTCAAGCGTTATTATGCCAAAACCACACTTTTATCAAAGAGTCATTGAATAGCACATGGAAACTGAGAAAAAGAGAGATGCGTGGTATTAAAAAAACACTTAATGCTATACTCTGGCTATAGGTTGTCTTGTCTAACAAGAACATTAGCTAGTAAATATTTGTCCTTAGAACTGAGAATTATGAGAGGCAACATGAATGACTTGGTTTTGCTGGTACAACCGTAAAAACAAGTTAAATGCCGCCCAATTGATGGGGGATTACGTTGTATACCTAGGCAAACAAAGAGGAATATTAAGTTGATCTTACAGGTTGTTAAAAAATGAAAAAATAAAAATATGTAAGGGATGGTTTCAAAAAAATCTGAAGCAGTGGTTAAGTACTTCTTAAGCTCATTGATGCAAATGCAGATTTCCTAAGATCTAAGGGAAAAAATAAAACAATTGAAAAAAAAGGGAAATGCAGATTTTTATTTTTCATTTATTTAAATGAACTAAACCCTGAATCTGAATTAGGTTTTGCCCATAAATCAAAACCGTAACATTCAGTTTGACAAGATAGAGGTAGATACTTAAAAATCTTTAGAAATATTTGGGAAGAGCCAGGCGCAGTGGCTCAAGCCTGTAATCCCAGCCCTTTGGGAGGCTGAGGCGGGTGGATCACGAGGTCAAGAGATCGAGACCATCCTGGTCAACATGGTGAAACCCCGTCTCTACTAAAGATACAAATAAAAGGCCGGGCGTGGTGGCTCAAGCCTGTAATCCCAGCACTTTGGGAGGCCGAGGCGGGTGGATCACAAGGTCAAGAGATCGAGACCATCTTGGTCAACAAGGTGAAACCCCGTCTCTACTAAAAATACAAAAAAATTAGCTGGGCATGGTGGTGCGTGCCTGTAATCCCAGCTACTCAGGAGGCTGAGGCAGGAGAATTGCCTGAACCCAGGAGGCGGAGGTTGCGGTGAGCTGAGATCGTGCCATTGCACTCCAGCCTGGGTAACAAGAGCGAAACTCCGTCTCAAAAAAAAAAAAAAAAAAAAAAGATACAAAAAAAAAAAAAATTAGCTGGACATGGTGGCCCATGCCTGTAATCCCAGCAACTCAGGAGGCTGAGGCAGGAGAATTGCTTGAATCCAGGAGGCGGAGGTTGCGGTGAGCCGAGATCGCGCCATTGCACTCCAGCCTGGGTAACAAGAGCAAAACTCCATCTCAAAAAAAAAAGAAAAAAAAAAAAGAAATATTTGGGAAGATAGATAAATGGTATATAAGTAGTAGCAGTGATCAATTATTATTTTGCATTCACTGTAATGTAGTAGAGGAGAGTGGAGTGTTATAGTTAGATCTTCACCTGTGTGCCTGGGATTGATTCTCAGCTGTGTTTCCCACTGGTTTTCTGACCTTGGATAAATTATCTATACTCTCTATGCCTCAGTTTTCTTGTCTGTGTAATTGGGATAATAAATCCTTCCTCAAAATTGTTGGTAGCTTTAAGGAGAACCTGTGTGTGAGTTTGTAGTTCTTAAAATAGTGATGCCTGGCAGATAATGCGCTATCACCTTATATCCCCTGCTGTTGTGAATCCAGCAAATAGAGGGTACTTATTTCAGCAACTGTACTGAGGATCAGAAGATCCTACCCTAGAGGAATTCACAGTTTCATTAAGTTCGAGACTGTACGCCTTCTCTATTTTCAACCCAGCTCTTTTTTTTCCGTAAATCTTGTATTTGTTTCCAAAGGAATAAATTCAAGGGTTTAGTCTCAATCTTTAATTTTACCTGATAGTCAAAGAAATGGATAGAAAATTGACCTGCTCCCCTGAAAAAAATAAAATATTTTAAAGCCATTTTAAATTTTGTTTTATAGATGCTTGTTTGCTACTGATGGGTGTGAGCAAGTTAGATATCCTATACCGGAGACTTCTCCTAACAAAACTTTTTATCAGAGGATGGGGAAGGCCAGAAGATCTCAAAAGGCAAGCAGTTTTTTTCCTGAATACTTGTTCCAAATTTGTTGTTTTAAAGAACATTTAAAACTTTGTTATAAAATCTCTTACTCTTAAATATAGAACAATTATCCAGCAAATTAAACATTAAACTATGTAAAATGTAATTATTTTTTGTTTTTAGTTATTTCTCTTAAATTTTAGCCCATATCATAAATTGTACTGTTTTTAAAATAATTCAGATTTTTTAAATAGAGAGCTCTCAGAAACACAGACTAGATTTTTGACTTCAGTAATTATTAAGCCGATTAGAGTTGTATGTAGTTTCCAAGGATTGAGTCTTTTTGGGTAACATGAATTTGTAATGGCTCTAAAACTGGATTACACTGTAGCTCATGGGAAAATTTGGACTTAAGAAAATGAATTTTCGTCTGGGAGCTGTGGCTGATGCCTGTAATCCCAGCACTTTGGGAGGCCGAGGTGGGTGGATCACGAAGTCAGGAGTTCAAGACCAGCCTGGCCAACATGGTGAAACCCTGTCTGTACTAAAAATACAAAAATTAGCCAAGCATGGTGGCACATGCCTACTCAGGAGGTTGAGGCAGGAGAATTGCTTAAGGCCAGGAGGCAGAGGTTGTAGTGAGCTGAGATCGCACCACTGCACTCTAGCCTGGGTGACAGACCAAGGCTCTGTCTCAGGGGAAAAAAAAGAAAATGAATTTCAGTATTGGTGCCTTTAATTTTGAGGCTTATATATGTATTAATTACTTTCTGAACACTACCGTGCCTCACATTTTTCTGGGAAAAAAAAAAAAAGGGTTCAGTTTGGGGGAAAAACAACCTAATCTCTTTCTTTAATGATCAAAATTAAATTTTAATATGGCTTATGAACTGAATTTGCTAATTTTTAATTCCTGTTAATCTCAAATATAATATGCCTAGTAAGTGATATAAAAGGTAAATTTTTTTCCTTTTTGTCTTCTTTCCCGTAATAGACTCTTTGAATTCAGAAAGATGATTGGAAATCGAGAGAGATGCCAGAATCTGGTTTCAAGCGATTATCCAGTACACATTGATAAGGTATTCAAATGAGAGAAACGCAGTTACAGGAATTGTGGTTTGACATAAATATGTCCAAGAACAGATTACATGTTGGTGTATAACAACAATAAACACTAAAATATAAGTGCACTATGGATTTTTCATTTCAAATTTAAAGAACATTATTTGTGGGCCAGGCACAGTGGCTCACAGATTACAGAATCCCAGCACTTTTGGAGGCCAAGGCGGCTGGATCACCCGAGGTCAGGAGTTCGAGACCAGCCTGACCAATATGGAGAAACCCCATCTCTACTGAAAAAAAAATACAAAATTAGCCAGGCGTGGTGGTGCATGCCTGTAATCCCAGCTACTTGGGAGGCTGAGATAGGAGAATGGCTCGAACCTGGAGGCAGAGGTTGTGGTGAACAGAGATGGCACCATTGCACTCCAGCCTGGGCAACAAGAGTGAAATTCCAAATTGTTTTTCCTTCCCTCCTTCCTTCCTTCCCCCCCGCCCCCCCACCGCCGTCTTTCTGTCTTTCTTTTCTGTTGAGATGGAGAAAATGTTTACAAACTACTCATCTGACAGGGAATTAAGAACCAGAATATATAAGGAGCTCAAATAACATACTAGGGAAAAAAATCACAGTCTGATTTTAAAATGGTTAAAAGATCTGACTAGACATTTTACATTTTTTCCAAAGAAGACATATACATGGCCAACCAGGTAGATGAAAAAATGCTTAGCATCACTAATCATCAGAGAAATGCAAATCAAAATTAAAATCATATATCATCTTAGCCTAGTTCAAATGACCTTTATCCAAAAGACAGGCAATAATGAATGCTGGTGAGGATGTGGAGAAAGAGGAAACCTCATACATTGTTGGTGGGAATGTAAGTTAGTACAACCACTGTGGAGAACAGTGGAACTTCCTCAAAAGGTGAAACTGGAACTACCATATGACCCAGCAATCCCTCATTGAGTATATATGTAAAATAAAGGAGATCACTGTATGAAAGAGATAACAGCATTCCCATGTTTATTGTAGCACTATTCATAGTAGCCAAGATGCGGAATCAACCTAAGTGTCCATCAGCAGATGAATGGGTTAAGAAATTGTGGTACAAATATTCAAGGAAATATTATTCAACCATAAAAAGGAATGAAATCCTGTCATTTGCAACAACATGGATAGAACTGAAGGACATTGTGTTAAGTGAAATAAGCCAGGCACAGAAGGACAAATTTCATGTATTTTCACTCATATTTGGGAGCTAAATATAAATTAAACTGATGGAGATGAAGAGTTGATTGATGATTATCAGAGGTTAAGAAGAGTAGCAGGGAGGGAAAGATAAGAGTGGAGATGATTAATGGGTGCAAAAGTACAGTTAGAATCAGTAAAATCTATTTTTTGGTAGCATAATAGTATCACTAATTAACAATTTATTGTTTATTTTGAAATAAGAGTGGAATTGGAATGTTCCTAATACAAAGAAATGATAACTGCTTCAGGTGATGGATACTCCAGTTACCCTGATTTGATCATTACACCTTTTATACCTATATTAAAACATCACATATACCCTATAATACAGTCAATGATTATGCACTCAAAATAATTAAAAATAAAGTACAATGGCACAAAAAGTTTACGTAGTAGGTGCTGAAAACATGATTTTAATTGAATATAACTTTTTATTAGAAGAACATCCATAATAGACCAAGATATCTTAGTTTTCTTGAATACACCTTGGTTTTTACTTTCTTTTAGATTGAAGAGCAATCAGATTGTAAGATCCTAGATGGACACTTTGTTTCCCCCATGGCTCACTATGTGCCTGATATCATGCCAATTGAATCTATTATTGCAAGGTAAGAAATTTTTGTTCAAAAAGATGAATTAGTACGTTATGTTCATTAAAATTATAATATCAACACCATGTTATTTGAAATTAGGAATAACAAGACAGGTCTAAATTACTGGAAAAGCTGAATTAGAAGATATTTTAATTCTTCTAAGAATATAAGGATGTACAAGGATGTTCACTGAAGTATTGTTTAGAGTTGCAAAAATTAGGTAATGCCTAAATGTTAAACAATAGGGGATTAATTATACATGCTGTGGATACCATTAGTGTCATGGAAATATTTGGTCACAATATGTGATAGTTTAAGATAATACAAACGATTTTTAGTTCCATTTTTGCAAACACACAAGTATGCACACACAGTCACATGGGTTTCCAAAGCATTTATGTGAATGTATAAAGTCTGCTTATCTCTGAGTGGAGAGATTTGGGCTTTTAAATTTTTACTTTCAGGCCGTGCACGGTGACTCATGCCTGTAATCCCAGCACTTTGGGAGGCCAAGGCGGGCAGATCGCCTGAGGTCAGGAGTTCTGAAAAATGCAAAAAATTAGCCAGGCATGGTGGCAGGCACCTGTAATCCCAGCTACTTGAGGGACTGAGACAGGAGAAATCTATTGAACCCAGGAGGCGGTGGTTGCAGTGAGTCAGGATGGCACCACTGCACTCCATCCTGGGCCACAGAGTGAGACTCTGTCTCAAAAACTAATTTTTTAGTTTTGAATTTTTACAGTGTACATGTGTTGATTTTATAATAGGAAGCAAAAGTACTTTTAAGTGAAGAAACTAAAAAATGTGATAACTTAAACTAGACGAACTACATAGTTAGCTAAGTAAAGCGCCTCAGGATTGATATGTAATTAGCATATCAGTTTGAGATTATAAATAGATATTCTAAAATACCTGAGATTCTTAAGTGGTTAATTATACAATAGTTGAAAACTGGCTTTTTGGATCTTCATTAGAGTACAGAGGTCACTCTTAGCCCAGTCTTGTTAATGGTTATTTGTTTGTTTTTTGAGACAGTCTTGGTCTGTTGCCTCAGCTGAATGGAGTGCCATGGTGCTCACTGTAACCTCTGCCTTTCAGGTTCTAGTGATTCTCAGCCTCCTGAGTGGCTGGGATTATAAGCTTGTGCCACCATACCTAGCTAATTTTTGTATTTTTAGTACAGACGGGCTTTTGCCATGTCAGCCAGGATGATCCCACCCTCCTGGTCTCATGGAATCCACCTGCCTCCTTTCCCAAAGTGCTGGGATTATAGGTGTGAGCCGCCATGCTCGGCCACTGTTAATGGTTTGTGGGTTTTTTAGGTTTTGTTTTTTGAGACAGTCTCCAGAGTCTCACTTTGTTGCCCAGGCTAGATGGAAAGCAGTGGTCCTCACTGCAGCCTCCGCCTCCTGGGTTCAAGTGATTCTCCTGCTTCACCCTCTTGAGTAGCTGGGATTACAGGCACCCACCACCACACCTGGCTAATTTTTGTATTTTTAGTAGAGATGGGATTTCACCATGTTGTCCAGGCTGGTCTTGAACTCCTGACCTCAAATGATCCGCCCACCTCAACCTCCCAAGTGCTGAGATTACAGTAATGATCCACCGTGCCTGGCCTGTTAACTTTTTTTTTTTTTTTTTTTTTTTTTTTTTTTGAGACGGAGTTACTCTTGTTACCCAGGCTGGAGCGCAATGGCGCGATCTCGGCTCACCACAACCTCGGCTTCCTGGGTTCAGGCAATTCTCCTGCCTCAGCCTCCCGAGTAGCTGGGATTACAGGCACACGCCACCATGCCCAGCTAATGTTTTGTATTTTTAGTAGAGACAGGGTTTCACCATGTTGACCAGGATGGTTTTGATCTCTTGACCTCGTGATCCACCCGTCTCGGCCTCCCAAAGTGCTGGGATTACAGGCTTGAGCCACCGCGCCTGGCCCTCTAGTTTATGTTTTAACTAATTGTATATAAAAAGAACAAAATACTGTACTTTTTTCCCCCTACATTGTTGATAATAAACTATTTGCTGCTTCTGGTTAGTAGGTATTTTCTCCTTTTAAGACTTTTGTCTGCAATAGCAATGATAAAATAGCAGTGATACATAATGTGTGTTTGAAAAATTCTTCAGTCAAGAGCTTATTCTGTAATGAAAACCTACTTAACCTTTTAAGTGAGTTCATTGGAATACTGAATTCCAATACATTCAGAACCTTATAAATGAACGTGTAAAGTGCAAAGTATCAGAAAAGTACTTTGATAGACCAGATTAGCAGTTGTAGTCAGCTGTCCATTATTTTGTTACCCCTAAGACATTATTTCAAATTGATATTTTTTTCTGTTGATAACCTCTGAATGAAATGCAAGCCATGTCATGTATTGGAAAGAACTAGAACTTTGGAATTAAACAGATCTGGGATTGAACCCTGTGTCTACTGCTTACTGACCTAATGTCAATTACTTAGTCTCTGAAGCAGGCTTTATAAAGTAGAACTAATAACACTTATCTCGTAGGGTTATTGAAAGTCATAAATAAGGAATGAGTCTGGGTATGGTGGCTCATGCCTGTAATCACACACTTTTGGGAGGCTGAGGTGAGTGGATCACCTGACATCAGGAGTTCCAGACCAGCCTGTCCAACATGGTGAAACCCCGTCTCTACCAAAAATACTAAAAAGATTAGCTGGGCATGGTGGCGGACATCTGTAATCCCAGCTACTTGGGAAGCCGAGGCAGGAGAATCGCTTGAACCTGGGAGGCAGAGGTTGCAGTGAGTGAGATCATACCATTGCACTCCAGCCTGGGCAACAAGAGTGAAACACCATCTCAAAAAAATAAAAGGAATGAAAATGGTGTTCAGGGAATATAAAAAACATTAAATGTGTAGCTTATTTATGTATTTACTTATTTATTTGACAGAGTTTCACTTTGTCAATCAGGCTAGGGTGCAGTGGTGCTGTCTTGACTCACTGCAGCCTCAACCTCCCTGGCTCAAGTGATCCTCTCACCTCAGCCTCCTGAGTAGCTGGGACTGTAGGCTGACATCATCATACTTGGCTAAATATTTTTTATTTTTCTGTAGAGATGGGGGTTTCACTACACTGTCCAGGCTGATCTCAAATTTCTCGGCTCAAGTCATCCTCCTGCCTTGGCTTCCCAGAGTGCTGAGATAGGCTTGAGCCACTGCACCCAGCCTTAACTCTTAGATATACTTTCTCTTATCAATGCTTTATTAAAAGCATTCATTAAAAAGCATTATCTGGTCATGATGATGTGGGCCTATAGTCTTACCTACTCAGGAGGCTAAGGCTGGGGATTGCCTGATCGAGGTTAGAGTGAGCTATAATTGTACCACTGCACTCCAGCCTGGGTGACAGAGCAAGACTGTGTCTCAAAAAAAAAAATTTTTTTTTAAAAGCCTAAGTGAATGTGTAGCTTTTTCACCTCTAGGCTAAGGGATATAGAAGGAAAAGAAACTTTCAGTTTCTAGGTAGCATCACTTCAATCCCTAGAACTATGTGTCCCTTTCTCGTAGATTCTCCACCTTATCTTATCTGGACAATTATACAAGCTACAAAGCATAAAGAAAGGAGGAAAATTGTGTGCTTTTACTCAGACTCAGAAATACTCCTCAACATCTGTTGGTAATTGAGGAAGGGTTCTTTCCAATTGATGACAGGAATGGGGAAACAAATTGACTTCTTGTCTCTGCAGTGGCATATTTTTACAACATAATATTTTTTCAACAATTTCTAGTCAGATTTGAAGCATAACATTGTGATGAAATACTGTAAATTCCCAGATGATGCACATTGACATTTATTTTTCCTTTCTTTCCCCTTATCATTCTTGGGCAGCAGTTTATCTCATTGCATTAAAATATTAGAATATATGAATAAGAAAAAACGATCATTGGTAATTCCACCAACAAGAGATAATCACTATTTTATGTAGATTCTAGTCTTTCTCCTATGTGTTCACATACAACTGTACTTATTCTCTCTCTCTTTTTTTTTTTTTTTTGACTTAATTAATATCAGTGAATATGCAGTTGGGTATCATTAATGGCTGCTTGGTATTCCATACCGTGGCTCTGCCATAATTTACTAATTCCTTGTGTTGCACATTTAAGTTGCATTGTTTTTCTTTTCTTCTTTTTTTTTTGAGATGGAGTTTCACTCTTGGTACCCAGGCTGGAGTGCAATGGCACAATCTCAGCTCACCGCAACCTCCGCCTCCCGGGTTAAGGCAATTCTCCTGCCTCAGCCTCCCAAGAAGCTGGGATTACAGGCACGCACCACCATGCCCAGCTAATTTTTTGTATATTTAGTAGAGACGGGGTTTCATCATGTTGACCAGGATGGTCTCGATCTTTAGACCTCGTGATCCACCCGCCTCGGTCTCCCAAAGTGTTGGGATTACAGGCGTGAGCCACTGCGCCTGGCCGCATTGTTTTTCAATATAATAAACGACATTACAATGAGCATCTTTTTTTTTTTTTTTTTTTTTTTTTGAGACGGAGTTTCACTCTTGTTACCCAGGCTGGAGTGCAGTGGCGCGATCTTGGCTCACCGCAACCTCCACCTCCTGGGTTCAGGCAATTCTCCTGCCTCAGCCTCCTAAGTAGCTGGGATTACAGACATGTGCCACAATGCCCAGCTAATTTTTTGTATTTTTAGTAGAGACGGGGTTTCACCATGTTGACCAGGATGGTCTCCATCTCTCGACCTCGTTATCCACCTGCCTCGGCCTCCCAAAGTGCTGGGATTACAGGCTTGAGCCACCGCGCCCGGCACAATGAGCATCTTTATATACGTTTCCTTGCCTGCTTCTCTGATTATTTTCGTGCCATAAGTTGTTAAAAATAGAATTTCTGGATTTACAAGATTTGCACAGATTTTAAATTTTTGATCTTCTTGCCATATAAGCAGGAAAAGTTTAAGGCTATGCCAAGTATAGATTAATCCACATGGAGAAACCTGTCTTTCCTATTGTCATTTGGCCCAGTACTGATGATTCTGTCTCTTTTTCACACTATATGGTTTTATTGAGGTAGAGAAAAATATATCAGGTAAATGAAATGAGGGAACTGCAAGCATTCTTTTTCCTTAAAGAACAGTTTTAAGACTGTTTAAGATCTGTTTCTAGTGACATGGTTTTTAGACCACAAAATTGGGATTTCACTGTGTAATATGAAATAGTTCATGAATTGTAATGTATCTTCTGGACAGTCTATGTCGGAAAGATACTTACGTCAAAATTCCAAATGAACTATAATATTTTAAAATATAGCATTCAGGCTGGGCACAATGGTTCACGCCTGTAATCCCAGCACTTTGGGAGACCGAGGCAGGCAGATCACCTTGAGGGTAGGAGTTCAAGACCAATCTGGCCAACATGGTGAAACCCTGTCTCTACAAAAATACAAAAATTGGCTGGGCATGATGGTAGATGCCTGTAATCCCAGTTCCTCAGGAGACTGAGGCAGGAGAATTGCTTGAACCCAGGAGGCAGAGGTTGCAGTGAGCTGAGATCACGCCATTGCACTCCAGCCTGGGTGACAGACAGAGCAAAAATTCCATCTCAAACAAACAAACAAAAATCCCGTAACATTCCTTTGAGCAACCTTAAATAATTTTATGGTAACATGGCATAATTTAGTATTCAAATTTTACCAAAGTTGAATTCTAATAAAAACTCAGGAAAATCTAATATTTATCTTCTGGTAAAATATGAATATTCCCACAAGGATAGTTTATATGTCTTCTGTAAGATTTTCATTTCTCAGCATCAGGGGTCAAAAATATTTTTCACATAATTGGGTTTAAGTTCCTCTAGGGATGAAGTACTCATTTATTTATTATTTTTTAATTTTTTGAGATGGCTTTTGACTCTGTCACCCAGACTGGAGTGTGGTGGCTTAATCTTGGCTCGCAACCTCTCCCTCCCAGGTTGAAGGGATTCTCATGCCTCAGCCTCCCGAGTAGCTGGGGTTATAGGCACATGCCACCACACCTAGCTAATTTTTTTATTTTTAGTCAAGACGGGGTTTCACCTTGTTGTCCAGGCTGGTGTCAAACTCCTAACCTCAAGTGATTTACCTGCCTCAGCCTCCCAAATTGCTGGGATTACAGGCATGAGCAACTGGGCCCAGCCAGGCACTCATTTTAAATTATGCATACTTGCAAATAAACTATTCCAGGCTTTCATGAAATTTTACTCCATTTACAGAAATATGTATGTGTGCGTGTGTATATATCTCTGTGTGTGTGTATGTATAACAAAACCAGCTCTCCTTTTCAGCATTAAGTTGTTCTCAAGTGTTACTTTTATTCCATATTCCAAATTGAACCAAAAAAGTAAGATATTACTTAAAATAACAAAATGTAGATAATTCCTGTGTTTACTACTGAGCTAGTTTTTATTTTTAAAAGAATAGTGAGCCAGGCGCGGTGGCTCAAGCCTGTAATCCCAGCACTTTGGGAGGCCAAGGCGGGTGGATCACGAGGTCAAGAGATCGAGACCATCCTGGTCAACATGGTGAAACCCCGTCTCTACTAAAAATACAAAAAAAAAATTAGCTGGGCATGGTGGCGCGTGCCTGTAATCCCAGCTGCTCAGGAGGCTGAGGCAGGAGAATTGCCTGAACCCAGGAGGCGGAGGTTGCGGTGAGCCGAGATCGCGCCATTGCACTCCAGCCTGGGTAACAAGAGCGAAACTCCGTCTCATTAAAAAAAATTAATAAAAAAAATAAAAAATAAAATAAATTAGCTGGGCATGGTGGCATGCACCTGTACTCCCAGCTACTCTGGAGGCTGAATCAGGAGAACTGCTTGAACCTGGGAGGTGGAGGTTGCAGCAAGCCAAAATCACACCACTGCACTCCAGCCTGGGTAACAGAGCAAGACTCCGTCTCAAAAAAAAAGTTATTTCTTTTAAGGCTTACTCATACATGGTGGTGTCTCTACAAGATAAGAAAATTTCATTATGTATTTATAAAGTTGTGATATTGAACAAGGTAAAGAATAGTGACAGTAAATTCTATGTTTATGTTGTATTGAAGATTTTAATATCTAAACAGAAAGCAGATTTACAATATCTTTGTAGCTTTTGGACAACTTAATATAGTTAATTACAATTTGAATGTCAAAATTTAGACTGATCTTTTCTCTCAAATACTTTAAATGTAACATTTTTAAGAATTGAAAGTTTTTATTGAAAGTCCTTTAAAGAGAATTTTATTGATATGTCTGTGCTTTTAAAAATAGGTTCCAATTTATTGTGCCTAAAGAATGGAACAGCAAATATAGACCTGTATGCATTCATCTTGCTGGAACAGGAGATCATGTAAGACTTTATTATATTGGCTTACTAGTGGCATTAAGGGGAAAAAAAGACTTTATTATAATGCTTTAATCTCTAGATAATTTGTTGACATATTCTTCTTAACAGATGTGGCTACTATATCCTTTGAGTATGTGTTCTTTTGTTTCCTTAGCATTACTGGAGGCGACGAACACTAATGGCCCGTCCTATGATTAAAGAAGCCCGAATGGCTTCTTTATTGTTAGAAAATCCTTATTATATCCTTTTGTGATATCTAAGAAATCTTTTGTCTTGTTTATGTATTGATATATTTAGTCACCAAAAGGAATGACAGATAGTAACCAACTTTTCTAAACCAGTAAATCTAGTCATCAGTTCAGAAAATACTTAAGAAACAAGATGCCTTTTAAAAATTAACATAAGGATTATACTTGTACAGTAAAGAAATTGTACTTCTATTTCTTGGGAGACTTATGCTAGATTTCAATGTTAGTAAGTCAAATGTTTGCTATTAAGGAAACACTCATGTTTTAAATGCAATTTACAGTATCAGTTGAGGTTTAGAACAGTTCTTAACTTGATTTTCAAGATGACGTCAGACTATTCACAGAAGAAGAAATGAAACTGATGCACAGATATAAAGAAATGTTCAACGTTGCTGGTAATAAATGTAGTGTTAAAACAACAATGGTCAACTATTTTTAAAAAATAAAACACAGTACTGGTGAGGCTACTATGAAATGGGCATTCTTGTTACTAGTGACTGAAAATCAGTTCAACCGTTTGGGAAAACATTTATTACCATATGTATCAGGAGCTTTGAAACATCATATCCCGTGACAGAATGATTTTGATTCTGGGAAATTTATTTTAAGGATAAAAACTAAGAAAAAAGAAAATAACAAAAACGTGTTTGTATAGCTTTATTTATGATAGTAAAGCATTCAAAATACCTAAATGTCTAAAATAGAAATAGTTATGTTAACTGTGTTTCATAACATTGGAATTTTATGCAATTGTTGTGTTATATTTATTTCTCTACCACTTACTACCTTTGTGACCTTGGACCTGTTACATAACCTTTTAGTACCTCAATTTTCTCATTGATAAGAGAATAATCTCTTGGGTTATTGAGATTATTAAGTGATTAATACTGTGTAGAACAGTGCCTGATAAATAATAAGCATTCAGTAGCTTTTAACTGTTATTATTAGTTTACAATAATGTATGACAAGTATTTCTGATGTGAAAATAAGATAAAGGCTGGGCGCAGTAGTTCACACCTGTACGTGCAGCACTTTGGGATTCCACGGTGGGTGGATCATCTGAGGTCAGGAGTTCGAGACCAACCTGACCAACATGGTGAAACCCTGTCTCTACTAAAAATACAAAATTAGCCAGGCATGCTGGTGCGCATCTGTAATCCCAGCTACTCAGGAGGCTGAGCCAGAAGAATCACTTGAACCCAGGAGATGGGGGTTGCAGTGAGAGGTTGCACAATTGCACTCCAGCCTGGGCAAAAAGAGTGAAACTCTGTCTCTAAAAAAGAAAATAGGATATAAAACTCTATGGTGTGGCACAGGTATGCAAAAAAACTTAAAACTACATCCAAAGCAAAAACTGCATTGGCCTGGCACAGTTGCTCAGGTCTGTAATACCAGCACTTTAGGAGTCTGAGGCAGGAGGATCACCTAAGGTCAGGAGTTTGAGACCAGCCTGGCCAACATGACAAAACCGTGTCTGTACTAAAAATACAAAAATTAGCCAGGCGTGGTGGTGTGCACCTATAATCCCAGCAACTTAGGAAGCTGAGGCAGAAGAATTGCTTGAACCTGGGAGGCGGAAGTTGAAGTGACCCGAGATCACATCACTGCACTTTAACCTGGGCGACAGAGCTAGACTCTGTCTCAAAAAAAAAAAAATGTGCATAAAGAAAAATACTGAAAGGAATGTACCAAAATGTTAATATGATTGTAGACAAAATAGTTTTTTTTTTTTTTTTTTTTTTTTTGAGACGGAGTTTCGCTCTTGTTACCCAGGCTGGAGTGCAATGGCACGATCTCGGCTCACCGCAACCTCCGCCTCCTGGGTTCAGGCAATTCTCCTGCCTCAGCCTCCTGAGTAGCTGGGATTACAGGCACGCGCCACCATGCCCAGCTAATTTATTTTATTTTTTTTTTTTATTAATTTTTTTTAATGAGACGGAGTTTCGCTCTTGTTACCCAGGCTGGAGTGCAATGGCGCGATCTCGGCTCACCGCAACCTCCGCCTCCTGGGTTCAGGCAATTCTCCTGCCTCAGCCTCCTGAGTAGCTGGGATTACAGGCACGCGCCACCATGCCCAGCTAATTTATTTATTTTTTTTTTTTTTATTAATTTTTTTTAATGAGACGGAGTTTCGCTCTTGTTACCCAGGCTGGAGTGCAATGGCGCGATCTCGGCTCACCGCAACCTCCGCCTCCTGGGTTCAGGCAATTCTCCTGCCTCAGCCTCCTGAATAGCTGGGATTACAGGCACGCGCCACCACGCCCAGCTAATTTTTTGTATTTTTAGTAGAGACGGGGTTTCACCATGTTGACCAGGATGGTCTCGATCTCTTGACCTCGTGATCCACCCGCCTCAGCCTCCCAAAGTGCTGGGATTACAGGCTTGAGCCACCGCGCCCGGCTAATTTTTTGTATTTTTAGTAGAGACGGGGTTTCACCTTGTTGACCAGGATGGTCTCGATCTCTTGACCTTGTGATCCACCCGCCTCGGCCTCCCAAAGTGCTGGGATTACAGGCTTGAGCCACCGCGCCCGGCAATAGTTGTTTTTTAACATGCTTTTTTGTACTTTTTGGATTTTCTATAATAAAAAATTATATAAATGAAATAAACTAAATCAATAAACTTCATTTTAAATTTAAATTGAAGATTGTACAACCCTGTTAATATACTGAAAACATTAATAGATATATTTTATTGGCTGAATTATGTGATATATTATTATCTATATCAATAAAGCTATGTTTAAGAAGAAAAATAATTAAGTTGAAAACTTAAGAACTTCTAAACAGCCTACTTAACTAGAATGAAGTTTTTCAGTATTAAATTGTGTAAAATTTAACTACTTAATGTACTCTCAGACAAACAAAATTACTTAATTATTTTAAAACTTTCTCTTTGACCCACATTCTTAAATGGCTGCAGGAAACCCAAGGACCAAGTGTAAGTATATATCACCTTCATTTTTGCAGTCTTTTTATCAAATAGCCAGCAGTATTAAAATTTTGGTTGCCTTCAGTTAACCATTTCTAAATTGAATATCTAAATATTAATGGGGGGATTTCTGTTATAAAACTGTAGAATGAATACTGACTTTAATTCTTTTTGAGACGGAGTTTCGCTCTTGTTACCCAGGCTGGAGTGCAATGGCGCGATCTCGGCTCACCGCAACCTCCACCTCCTGGGCTCAGGCAATTCTCCTGCCTCAGCCTCCTAAGTAGCTGGGATTACAGGCACGAGCCACCATGCCCAGCTAGTTTTTTGTATTTTTAGTAGAGACGGGGTTTCACCATGTTGACCAGGATGGTCTCGATCTCTTGACCTCGTGATCCACCCGCCTCGGCCTCCCAAAGTGCTGGGATTACAGGCTTGAGCCACCGCGCCCGGCTAATTCTTATTTTTAAGATTTTTGCATTTTAATGTCTGTTAAGGAAATACAATAAACAATTTTAATAGGTAGACTTAAGATATATTTTGTTTATGAAACTGTTAATTAAGAAATGATAAAACTCTTTCCTTTTTTGTTTTTTTTTTTGGGTGGGGTTTGAGACGGAGTCACTCTGTCACCGAGGCTGGAGTGCATTGGTGTGATCTCAGTTCACTGGAACCTCTGACTCCTGGATTCAAGGATTCTCCTGCCTCAGCCTCTTAAATAGCTGGGATTATAGGCATGCACCACCATTCCTGGCTAATTTTTATATTTTTAATAGAGATGGGGTTTTACCATGTTGGTCAGGCTGGTCTCGAACTCCTGACCTCAAGTGATCTGCCCACCTCAGCCTCTCAAAAGCGCTGGGATTATAGGCATGAGCCACCGTACCTGGCCTGCCTTTTCCCTTTTAAAATACATTTACTTTGTATAATTAGATTACTAATGTGCACATGGTAGCACAATTACTTTGTGTAATTATAAACTGTTCATTCTTAAAATGCATAGTATAGAAAATCTGAAGATAAACATTTCAGTCTTTTAAAATGATAAACTGAATTTTTTTTTGCATTTCCATATATATATTGTGTTTGGTTTGGTTCATTCAATAAATATTTGATGCTAGACACTGGGAATATAGCAACAATAAGACAACACTCATAAAGTTTATATTCTAGTATAGGAGATAGATAAATAAAGTTATTTCAGATATTTATCAATGTCCAGTGAATGAAATAAAGCAGGGCAATTGTATAAAGAGTAATATGGTGTGCAGTGTAGTGACAGTATTATGTATGAGAACATGCTGTAATGAGAAAGAGCCACCTGCAGGAAGACTTCGAAGAAGATCAGCCACTGAGAAGGAAAAGTAAATGAAAAGCCCAATGTAAGCATCAGGAGAGGAGAGCAGTACAAGATGAGTTTAGAAAGATAGGCAGGGGCCGGGGGCGGTGGCTCATGCCTGCAATCCCAGCACTTTGGGAGGCTGAGGTGGGTGGATCACTTGGGGTCAGGAGTTCAAGACCAGCCTGACCAACATAGTAAAACCCTGTCTCTACTAAAAATACAAAAATTAGCCAGGCATGGTGGTGCACACCTGTAGTCCCTGCTACTCAGGAGGCCAAGGCAGGAGAATTGGTTGAACCCAGGAGGCAGAGGTTGCAGTGAGCCGATATCACGCCAGTGCACTCCAACCTGGATGACAGAGCAAGACTGTGTCTCAAAAAAAAAAAAAAAAAGAAGGAAAGACAAGGACCACATGATGAAGGCCATCATGCTTTGAATGTGAATAATCTGAGAGTGCAATGGGAAGTCTCTAGAGGACTTTAAGCAAATGAGTTGCCTGATTTGTATTTTTAAAGACCTACTTTGGTTTACTGGGGCAAGAATAGCAGCAGAGAAAACAAATAGGAAGCTATTACAATGATCCAAGAAAGAGTAGTAACTAGTATAACTAGGTGGTAGTGGAAATGGAAAGAAGTTTTCCTGGATTCAAGATATAATTTAGAAGTTGAAATGATAGGAGTTATTTATGAATTGGATGTTGTGGGAGAGAAATCAGAAGTTCTGACTTAAATGTGTCAAATTTGAGGCTGTGCCCAAGGGCTTACGCCTGTAATCCCAGCACCTTGGGAGGCCAAGGCAGGAGGATCATCTGAGGTCAGGAGTTTGAGACAAGCCTGACTAACCTTTGAGAAACCCCTCTATTAAAGGACAAAAAACGTTAGCCAGGCATGGTGGCACTTGCCTGTAATCTCTGCTACTCGGGAGGCTGAGGTAGGAAAATCACTTGAACCTGGGAGGCGTAGGTTGCAGTGAGCTGAGATCGTGCCACAGCCTGGGTGACAAGAGCAAAACTGACTCAAAAAAAAAAAGAAAAGATGTGTCAAATTTATAATCTTGGTTAAACCAGCAAGTGGAGAAGTCAAATAGGCAGTTGGAAAGTGCTAGAGATGTAGATTTGGAAGTCCCATGTTCTGTATGGTCATAGCATGAAAGAAGTATAGGTGAAAGTGGGATGGGGTGGAGACAAATATGTATACCATGAAGAATAGTTTAGAAGGAACCTTGGTAATTTATAATGAACTTTGTGAAGCCTTGTGAAAAATTAAAGGCTGGCCAGGCACGCTGGCTCATGCCTGTAATTTCAGCACTTTGGGAGGCCAAGGTGGGTGAATCACAAGGTCAAGTGATCAAGGCCATCCTGGCCAACATGGTAAAACCCTGTCTCTACTAAAAAAAAAAAAAAATACAAAAGTTAGCTGGGTGCGGTGGCATCTGCCTGTAGTCCCAGTTACTCAGGTGGCTGAGGCAGGAGAACAACTTGAACCCAACTTGAGGCAGAGGTTGCAGTGAGCCACGATCATGCCACTGCACTCCAGCCTGACGACAGAGCAAGACTCTGCCCCCCCCCCCAAAAAAAAGAAAAGGCTGGGCGCAGTGGCTCAAGCCTGTAATCCCAGGACACTTTGGGAGGCCGAGGCGGGTGGATCAATCACAAGGTCAAGAGATCGAGACCATCCTGGTCAACATGGTGAAACCCCATCTTGACTAAAAATACAAAACATTAGCTGGGCATGGTGGCGTGTGCCTGTAATCCCAGCTACTCAGGAGATTGAGGCAGGAGAATTGCCTGAACCCAGGAGGTGGAGGTTGCGGTGAGCCGAGATCGCGCCATTGCACTCTAGCCTGGGTAACAAGAGTGAAACTCCATCTCAAAAAAAAAAAAAGAAAGAAAAATTAAAGGCCAAGCTAAGTAGTTCAAGAATTTCCACTCTGGAACCAAGCCCAGAATTCAGAATTAGGTATGTGATTTTTACCTTATCCATGAATGGGTTAAAAACCAAAAGGAGTTTACTGAGGTCTGATGAGAGACAGCCTGGGTTTAATAGAAAGACTGACTTTGGAGTCATACAGACATAGGTTAAAATTGTAACATGTTATTTACTAATTACTTCATTCATAAAATGGGAATACTATGTAATTTCTTCCACATAGAATTGTTGTGAGAATCATAATGTTTATAAAATATTCTATCACATACTGCATACTCAGGAAATTTAATAATGGTCCAATGTATTTGTTTGATTTTTCTCAATTCATCATAAGAAATGGCTTGCTGGCTGGGTGCGGTGGCATACACCTGTACTCCCGCACTTTGGAAGGCCGAGGGGACAGATTGTGTGAGTTTAGGAGTTCAAGATCACCCTGGCCAATATGGCAAAACCCTGCCTCTATAAAATGTACAAAAAAAAATGACCAGACGCAGTGGCTCACACCTGTAATCCCAGCACTTTGAGAGGCTGAGGCTGATGGGTGACCTGAGGTCAGGAGTTCCAGACCAGCCTGGCCGACATGGTGAAACCCCATCTCTACTACTAAAAATATAAAAATTAGCTGGGCATGGTGTGGACACCTGTAATTCCAACTACTCGGGAGGCTGAGGCAGGAGAATCGCTTGAACTGAGGAGGCAGAGGTTGCAGTGAGCCAAGATTGCACCATTACATTCCAGCCTGGGTGACAAGAGCAAAGCTCCATCTCAAAAAAAATAAATAAATTAGCCAGGCATGGTGGTGCATACCTGTAGTCCCAGCTACTCAGGAGCCTGAGGTGGTAGAATCCCCTCAGCCAGGAAGGCAAGGCTGCTGTGAGCCGTGATCAAGCCACTTTACTCCAGCCTGGGCAATGAGAGTGAGACCTTGTCTCAAAACAAAAGGAAAGAAAATTTTGAGAGACAGCTCTTGGAAATAAGAAAAAAAAAAGAAAACAGAAATGGCTTGCAATTTAAATCAGAGATACTTCTTTCTCTCTCTGGCTCTTTAAAAAGTCATCTTAAGTCTGTTTTCATCAAAAGTGCTCAAACAATTTGAGACCGAATCTGCCATTATAAATAACCATTGTCCCAGAATTTCATATCAGTAACTTTTAAAAGAGCAAACTGAAGGATCTGAGATTTCAAGGCTCCCATAGAAAGCTAAAAGAAATAGTTGGGGAAATCATGTAATCTTAAATAGAAAAATGGCTTGAGCATAGGAAACAGATGAAAATAAATGAGTTTTTTTTCTGATGAAGCATGACTATGATCTGTTTTGATGAAGGACACCATAGTTTCCATAAAGAGAAACCCCACCTTCTAGACTTAGAACTCTAAGAGGACTTGGTAGAACACTGGAAGTAAGCTCTTTTGGAGCCAAGATTTTGTTTTTCACACTTTCCTTCTGGCACCTGGTTCTTTGCACATATTATGTGTAAGCATATGATAAATAATCATTGGTAAAATGAATTTTTGTACACTTTGGCAAGGTTTCATCCTGTAACCACTTATGTATGTCTTAATAAAAGTTAAATTTTGAAAAGTAGATTCTAATTTGGTCATTTTAGTAATGAGATATAATTGTTTATTTTTTATTTATTTCATTATTTATTTATTTTTTGAGATGGAGTCTCACTCTGTTGCCCAGGCTGGAGAGCAGTAGCGCGATCTTAGCTCACAGCAACCTCTGCCTCCCAGGTTCCAGCAATTCTCCTGCTTCGGCCTCCCGAGTAGCTGGGACTACAGGCGCACGCCACCATGCCCAGCTAATTTTTATATTTTTTAGTAGAGATAGGGTTTCCCTATACTGGCTGCTGGTCTTGAGCTCCTGACTTCGTGATCCTCCCACCTCAGCCTCCCAAAGTGCTGGGATTACAGGCGTGAGCCACTGTACCCTGCCATATATGTTTATCATTAAATATGGTTGGTTCTAGGATCCAAAAAGATATATTTAAATACTTTTTATAAGGAAATATACTTCTGTGTAAAATTAGCTTCTAAAAATGAAATTCCGGTTGAATTGATCTTTATTTAAAACATGTATATTTGTAAAAACATATTTGTTTTATATTCATAAATTGTGTATTTTGTGAAAATAAGCAACATATTTAAGATTTCAGTAATACACGAGCCTAGTGTTTGGTTAAATTCTTTTATATTGGTTTTTTAAAAAGCTGTGCTTTAAGGCTGGGCATGGTGGCTCACACCTGTAATCCCAGCACTTTGGGAGGCCAAGGCAGGCCCATCACTTGAGCTCAGGAGTTCAAGACCAACCTGGCCAACATGGTGAAACCGTATCTCTGCTAAAAATACAAAAATTAGCCAGGTGTGGTGGCCCACGCCTGTAATCCCAGCTACTTGGGAGACTGAGACAGGAGAATTGTTTGAACCCAGGAGGTGGATGCTGTAGTGAGATGAGATCATGCCACTGCACTCTAGCCTGGGCAACAGAGTAAGACTCTTACCTCACAGAAAGAAAAAAGTTATGCTTTAAATTCTATTCTAATAATTTCAGTAAAGATTATGTGCTATAGAACAAGGAACACATTTTTTTTATTAAGTTTTAGGTGATTTGATACGTAGAACAATGTTAGCAGCTGTCTGATTCCATTTTTTTTCTTTTTTTGAGACAGGGTCTCACCCTGTTACCTTGGCTGAAGTGCAGTGGCACAGTCTCGGCCCACTGCAGCCTCTGCCTCCTGGGTTCAAGCAATTATTATGCCTCAGTTTTCCGAATAGCTAGGATCACAGGCATGCACCACCACGCCCTGCTAATTGTATTTTTAGTAAAGACAAGGTTTCACCATGTTGCCCAGGCTGGTCTTGAACTCCTGACCTCATATACCCACCTCAGACTCCCAAAGTGCTGGGATTACAGGCATGAGCCACCATGCCTGGCCCTGATTCCAATTTATTACATTGTTTTACTTAACTTTCTGGTCCTTTAAAAGAAATACATGAAGTCTGGCAGCATGAAGTCTGTAAGTTTGCGTATATTAGCATGTAAATACATAAAATAATCATATTCTATTTTGTTTTGTGAGTCTAGAAGGTCCAGCTTAAAAAATGTGTCTGACCTTTTTGTGATGGGAGGAGCTCTTGTTTTAGAATCTGCAGCCCTCTTGCACTGGCTAGAGAGGGAAGGTTATGGCCCTTTAGGAATGACTGGAATATCCATGGGAGGACACGTAAGCCTTTTTATTTCTGCTTACATTTAATTATGTTTATGTTTATAAGAACTAGAGAACTTGGTTATTTTAAAAATTCACTTTAGGTATACAATTAGTTTTGGTAAAAGTAGGAAGCAGAAACAGATTCCAGGCTTTCATCCAATTATGAAGTAATGATGTTAATTTTTTGTATGATTTATATAAACATTGTACTACGCCACAGTTGTATCTCAGATATTAGATTTAATATTTTATTTAAAAATATAAAATTTAACTTTTCAAGTCTCAAGTATAAATGCCCAATTTTGCTGTTACATTGGTCGAAATACCTGAATTGGAAAATACTTTCCATTTATCTATCTCCCTAGTACCACCACGAATTTTACTTTGTCTGCCTTTTAGAGTGTACTAAAATGTATTCCTAACTGCTTTCTCTGTCTCTATCTTTTCTCTTATTAATCTTTTTCTTAACCATTTCTCCTCTACACTGTGACTACAGTGATCTTTCTAAATCTAATCTTTGTTCTGTCTTGTTCAAAACCTGCCAAAAGCTTGCATATATACTGGGCGCCAGCTGTGTCACATGCTAGCATCCCTCTAGTGCTCCCTTATTCTCTTACAGCTAGCTTAGTAACAGCTTACCCTTCTGTTTCATCTGTGACACCCAGCCTTACCTCCCGACTATACTTCAAACTCTCATTAGTAACTTTTTACTGTACTGTACTGTACTGTACTGTACTGTACTCTACTGACTTGTTTAGCAGCCTGTTTTCTCCCTTGAAGCAGTTGGAACATTGAGGGTCAGGAATATGCTCTGGTTTGTTACTTGGCACCTACTAGTCACTCAGAACATTTTTTTTTTTTTTTGAGACGGAGTTTCGCTCTTGTTACCCAGGCTGGAGTGCAATGGCGCAATCTCGGCTCACCGCAACCTCCGCCTCCTGGGTTCAGGCAATTCTCCTGCCTCAGCCTCCTGAGTAGCTGGGATTACAGGCACGTGCCACCATGCCCAGCTAATTTTTTGTATTTTTAGTAGAGACGGGGTTTCACCATATTGACCAGGATGGTCTCGATCTCTTGACCTCGTGATCCACCCGCCTCGGCCTCCCAAAGTGCTGGGATTACAGGCTTGAGCCACCGTGCCCGGCCAGAACTTTTTTTTTTAATTATTATTATTTTGTTTGTGTGTGGGCTCAAGTGATCCACACAGCTTAGCCTCTAAAAGTGCTGGGATTATATATGTGAGTCACTGCACTGGCCCAAAAATGAATCATACCCCAGCCCAGGCAACATAGTGAGACCCTGTCTCTACAAAAACAATTGTTTAAATAATTAGCCAGGCATGGTGGCACATCTTTGTAATTGTGGCTATTCAGGAGTCTCAGGTGGGAGGATCACTTGAGCCACAGAGTTTGAGACTGCAACGAGCTGTGATCGTGCCACCGTACTCCAGATTAGATGATCCAGACAGAAACGAGATTCGGCCGGGTGCTGTGGCTCAAACCTGTAATCCCAGCACTTTGGGAGGCCGAGGCGGGTGAATCACGAGGTCAAGAGATCGAGACCATCCTGATCAACATGGTGAAACCCCGTCTCTACTAAAAATACAAAAACTTAGCTGGGCATGGTGGCGTGTGCCTGTAATCCCAGCTACTCAAGAGGCTGAAGCAGGAGAATTGCCTGAACCCAGGAGGCGGAGGTTGCGGTGAGCCGAGATCAGGCCATTGCACTCCAGCCTGGGTAACAAGAGCAAAACACGGTCTCAAAAAAAAAAAAAAAGAAAGAAACGAGATTCTATCTCAAAATAATAATAATATAATATGAAGGTTCTCTATGTCACTTGAATTAGAAAATTAAGTTCAAAAACTTAAATTCAAAACAACCACCTCACAGTGAAACAGAAGCTGGAAAAGGATTTATTTTCCTATCTAGTAGTGTTTCCATTGTCATCACCTAGGACAGGTTCTTAAAACTTTCACCTGGATTACTGCCTATTAACTGGTCTTCCTACCTCGGCTCTCCCCTTCTCTACTCAATCCTGTAAACTACTATAATGTTACCTTTTTTGAATCACTTCTTTGACAATACTAATCCTTTACTCAATTCTCTTTAATTCCCCGTTATCTATAAAACAAAGAACCTCTAATCTGATCCTGATCAATCTTTCTAGCCCTACTTATCTCCCTCACTCCATGGGCCACATGTGCCTATTGACCATCCCAACTGAAGTATATTGGTTGTTTCCCTATGAGACCCTGTACATTCTCACCTTATTGCCTTTGATCATACTGATTTCTTTCTATGGAAAACAACACCCTATCTTTCATTCCTGTGCAAGACTCAGCCATTCCATGAAGCCTGCCTTTCCCTTCTCATTCCTCCAGCCCAGAAGGGAAAGTTACTTTTCCAGAAGATAAAGTTCTCCATTCTCCAAAAGAGAGAGCAAATTTTTTCTTCTCTAAACACACACATTACATTATTTTATGAATCGGAAGGGAAAGTTACTTTTCCAGAAGATAAAAGTCTCCTTTCTCCAAAAGAGAGCAAATTTTTTCTTCTCTAAACACACACATTACATTATTTTATATCTGTTATATAATCTGCTTTGTAGTTCACCACATTCTTTGCATACTCAGTCAGCCTCAATGGTCTGATGTTTTATAGTTATGATTTTGCTGTATTTGAGCAAGTCACTTAAATAATGAGTGTGCCTACTCTGCTGCCCAGCATCTACATCTCAGCATCTTTGCTTCATATTTATACAGTAAAAAGTAGCTGTCAGTGAAGGGTCTTGAGGTTAAAGTTTTCTATTACATTTTGTTGCTTTTAAGGGGGAAATTAAATGTTGAATTTATTATTTGGGAAGTTTAATGAGGTTGCTAGGCATTCTCACTAATGTTTTCAGACTTTGTGTTTATCTAACCAACTGCTGCACGGAATACTTCTTAATATTTAATATTTTTTATTTTAATGAATAGAAACTCTAAACAGAAGCTCTCTAAACTATCTTTTACATTACAGATGGCTTCCTTAGCGGTATCCAACTGGCCTAAGCCCATGCCATTGATTCCATGCCTGTCTTGGTCTACAGCATCTGGGGTCTTCACTACGGTAATTTAATTGTAATTAATATTAGGTAGCTATATATGATTAGAGATAATTGTTTTGGAAGTCCCCAAAACCACCCTCAGCTTTGGTGATTCATAGAATCATAGCACTCAGGATATAGTCGTAATCCTGACTAAGGCTTAACTACAGAAAAAAAAATACAACAGAGTCAACAAAAGGAAAAATGCATGAGGCAGAGTCTGAAGGAAACCAAGAACAAGCACCCAAGCGTCCTCTCCCAGTGGACTGTTAGAGTTCATGCTTAATTCTTTCAGCAATAATTATTGATAATAAGTGCAAAGTGCTGTCCATCAGTGAAGCTCCCCTGAGCCTAGCAGTCCAGAGTTTTTATCAGGGGTTAGTAACTTAGATAACTTTTGCCTAGCATGCACCAAAATTTCTGAAGGAAAGCAGATGTTCAGCAGAAACGGCATTGTTTATATAAGTAGTTTAGGCATAGTGACCCACTCTTTTTTTTTTTTTTTTTTGAGACGGAGTTTCGCTTTTTACCCAGGCTGGAGTGCAATGGCGCGATCTCGGCTCACCGCAACCTCCGCCTCCTGGGTTCAGGCAATTCTCCTGCCTCAGCCTCCTGAGTAGCTGGGATTACAGGCACAGACCACCATGCCCAGCTAATTTTTTTGGATTTTCTAGTAGAGACAGGGTTTCACCACGTTGACCAGGATGGTCTCGATCTCTTGACCTCGTGATCCACCCGCCTCGGCCTCCCAAAGTGCTGGGATTACAGGCTTGAGCCACCGCGCCCGGCCCATAGTGACCCACTCTTATCATTTAGGGAAAGTTTTATATAAGTGTGAAAAGCGATTTACTGGCCAAGTTCCCAGACTCCAGCTAAGAGCCAACCTTACAAGCAGGCTAAAGATAGGCAGTCTTGGGCCAAGTGGGACGGCTCACACCTGTAATCCCAGCACTTTGGGAGGCCGAGGTGAGTGGATCACCTGAGGTCAGGAATTCAAGACCAGCATGAACAACATGGTGAAACTCTGTCTCTACTAAAAATATAAAAATTAGCCAGGCGTGGTGGCACATGCCTGTAGTCCCAGCTATTTGGTAGGCCGAGGCAGGAGAATCACTTGAACTCAGAAGGCAGAGGTTGCAGTAAGCTGAGGTGGTGCCATTGCACTCTAGCCTAGGAACAGAATGAGAGACTTTGTCTCAAAAAAAAAAAAAAAAAAAAAAAGGATAGGCAGTCTCTAGCCTGCTATGTTAACTCTTTTCCACACAGTAATAATAATAAAAGTATTGAGCAAATTGCTTATGATATGGTTTAATCTTAATTTAGCTTATTATTTCAGGGTGTGTTGAGTAAATCAATTAATTGGAGGGAGCTGGAAAAGCAGTATTATACCCAGACAGTTTATGAAGAAGAAATTATTCACATGCTTGAATACTGTGGAGTAAGTATTTCACTTTTCACCCGACATTGGTGGTGGGGGGAGTTGACTGTATGTTTAATGATTCAGGTTTTTTTTTTTTTTTTTTTGAGACGGAGTTTTGCTCTTGTCACCCAGGCTGGAGTGCAATGGCGTGATCTCGGCTCACCGCAACCTCCGCCTCCTGGGTTCAGGCAATTCTCCTGCCTCAGCCTCCTGAGTAGCTGGGATTACAGGCACGTGCCACCATGCCCAGCTAATTTTTTGTATTTTTAGTAGAGACGGGGTTTCACCATGTTGACCAGGTTGGTCTTGAACTCTCGACCTTGTGATCCACCCGCCTCGGCCTCCCAAAGTGCTGGGATTACAGGCTTGAGCCACCGCGCCCGGCCGTAATGATTCAGGTTTTTAAAGAGAAGGGCAAATTTTTAAAAACATAGCTGTACATACTATTTTTTACTTTTTTTTTTTTTTTTTTTTTTTGAGACGGAGTTTCGCTCTTGTTACCCAGGCTGGAGTGCAATGGCGCGATCTCGGCTCACCGCAACCTCCGCCTCCTGGGCTCAGGCAATTCTCCTGCCTCAGCCTCCTAAGTAGCTGGGATTACAGGCACGCGCCACCACGCCCAGCTAGTTTTTGTATTTTTAGTAGAGACGGGGTTTCACCATGTTGACCAGGATGGTCTCGATCTCTCGACCTCGTGATCCACCCGCCTCGGCCTCCCAAAGTATTTTTTACTTTTAAAATTTTTTCATTTTTTCCCCGGGTGTGGTGGCTCACGCCTGTAATCCCAGCACCTTGGGAGGCCAAAGCAGGTTGATCACTTGAGGTCAGGAGTTCGATACCAGCCTGGCCAATATGATAAACCCCCATCTCTACTAAAACTACAAAAATTAGCCACATGTGGTAGCTGGTGCCTATAATCCCAGCTACTAGGGAGGCTAAGACAGGAGAATCTTTTGAACCTGGGAGGTGGAGGTTGCAGTGAGCCAAGAGCACGTCACTGTATTCCAGCCTGGGTGATAGAGACTCTGTCTTAAAAATAAATAAACAAAACTTCATTTTAAAAATAAAACACAGGCCGGGCGCGGTGGCTCAAGCCTGTAATCCCAGCACTTTGGGAGGCCGAGGTGGGTGGATCACAAGGTCGAGAGATCGAGACCAACCTGGTCAACATGGTGAAACCCCGTCTCTACTAAAAAAAATACAAAAAATTAGCTGGGCATGGTGGCGCGTGCCTGTAATCCCAGCTACTCAGGAGGCTGAGGCAGGAGAATTGCCTGAACCCAGGAGGCGGAGGTTGCGGTGAGCCGAGATCACGCCATTGCACTCCAGCCTGGGTAACAAGAGCGAAACTCCGTCTCAATAAATAAATAAATAAATAAATAAATAAAAATAATAAAACACAGAGGCCGGGCGCAGTGGCTCAAGCCTGTAATCCCAGCACTTTGGGAGGCCGAGGCGGGTGGATCACGAGGTCAAGAGATCGAGACCATCCTGGTGAACATGATGAAACCCCGTCTCTACTAAAAATACAAAAAATTAGGGTGGCGCGTGCCTGTAATTCCAGCTACTCAGGAGGCTGAGGCAGGAGAATTGCCTGAACCCAGGAGGCAGAGGTTGCGGTAAGCCAAGATCGCGCCATTGCACTCCAGCCTGCGTAACAAGAGCGAAACTCCGTCTCAAAAAATAAATAAATAAATAAATAAAAATAAAGCACAGAATCATGCAAAGCAAATAGGTGGTCATAGAGACTCTGTCTTAAAAATAAATAAATAAAACTTCATTTTAAAAACAAAACACAAAATAATGCAAAGCAAATATTACTACACTTATTGAAAGGCATTGGCTGGGCACAGTGGCTCACACCTGTAATCCCAGCACTTTGAGATTCCCAGACGGGCGTATCACAAGGTCAGGAGTTCAAGACCAGCCTGACCATCATGGTGAAACCTCTGTCTCTACTAAAAATACAAAAAACTGGCTAGGTGTAGTGGCAGGCGCCTGTAATCCCAGCTACTTGGGAGGCTGAGGCAAAAGAATTCCCTGAACCCAGGAGGCGAAGGTTGCAGTGAGCCGAGATTATGCCACTGTATTCTAACCCCGGGTGACAGAGTGAGACTCCATCTCAAAAAAACAAAACAAAACAAAACAAAAAAAACGGAGGGTCAAACACGCTGTGTATTCTGTTTTTGTTGACACACAATCTGGCTCAGTCACCTTCTATGTCAGCCTCCTGAGTAGCTGGGGTTATAGGCATGCACCACCAACTGGCTAATTTTTGTATTTTTTGTAGAGATGGAATTTTACAGTGTTGCCCAGGCTTGTCTCAAACTCCTGGGCTAAAGCAATCTGCCTGTGTCAGCCTCCCAGCATGCTGGGATTACAGGTATGAGCCACAATGCCCAGCCTCACTTCTCTTTTTTATGGACTATACACAAGTATTTCCTTGTTATTTTTTACTGCTACATAATATAGTCTATTAAGTGAATTCATGTACCATAATTTATTCATCAGTACCCTGTTGATAGATGTTTATGTTGTTTCTCATCTTTCACTATTAATAAACAGTGCTGGGCCGGGCGAGGTGGCTCAAGCCTGTAATCCCAGCACTTTGGGAGGCCGAGGCGGGTGGATCACGAGGTCAAGAGATCGAGACCATCCTGGTCAACATGGTGAAACCCCGTCTCTACTAAAAATACAAAAAATTAGCTGGGCATGGTGGCACGTGCCTGTAATCCCAGCTACTCAGGAGGCTGAGGCAGGAGAATTGCCTGAACCCAGGAGGCGGAGGTTGCGGTGAGCCGAGATTGCGCCATTGCACTCCAGCCTGGGTAACAAGAGCGAAACTCCGTCTCAAAATAAATAAATAAATAAATAAATAAAAATAAACAGTGCTGCAGTGAGTAACTTTGTATATTTGTGTTTGATTACCTGGTTACCTTTTCTATGATTAGATAGACAAATACTTACGTATTGTATAAACGTAAATTCTTAGAAATATGATTGCTTGGCCGGGCGCGGTAGCTCAAGCCTGTAATCCCAGCACTTTGGGAGGCCGAGGCGGGTGGATCACGAGGTCGAGAGATCGAGACCATCCTGGTCAACATGGTGAAACCCCGTCTCTACTAAAAATACAAAAAATTAGCTGGGCATGGTGGCACGTGCCTGTAATCCCAGCTACTCAGGAGGCTGAGGCAGGAGAATTGCCTGAACCCAGGAGGTGGAGGTTGCGGTGAGCCGAGATCGCGCCATTGCTCTCCAGCCTGGGTAACAAGAGCGAAACTCCATCTCAAAAAAAAAAAAAAAAAGAAATATGATTGCTGAGTCAAGGTTATAGTAATGTAGTTAGATTTTGTCTAATTCTGGTTGTGTCAGTTTACAACACCAGCAGGAATGTGTCTTTCTCCATAAGTTCACAAATTCAGTTTGTTGTCAAACTTGAGTTTTTATTTTTTTGTCAACCAACACTGGAAAATAGTATAGTTTTAATTTAAGTAACTTAAAGTATGAGGGAAATTGAGCACGTTTTTATAAGTTTAAGAACAGTTTGTATTTTTGTATTTTGTTTTCTGTTTCCTTTATGTGTATATCCTTTGCTCATTTTGGGGGTTCTGGGCTTTTAAGACATTATTCAATTCTAGCTCTTAATAAATTAAAGTTATTTGCCATTTGTAATATGAGTTGTAAATACATTTTCCCAGGCTGTCATTTTTTCTTTTGACTTGCCTGTCACTATATAACAAAGTTTGTTTTTACATAAATTATATTGTACAGTCATGCTCTGCATAACAATGTTTCAGTCAATGACAAACCATATATACAAGGTGGTCCAAAAGACTGTAATACCATATTTTCACTATACCTTTTCTTTTTCTTTTCATTTTTGAGACGAAGTCTTGCTCTGTCTCCCAGACTGGAGTGCAGTGGCACAATCTCTACTCACTCTAACCTCTGCATCCTGGGTTCAAATGATTCTCCTGCTTCAGCCTCCCAAGTAGCTGGGATTTCAGGTGCCCCCCACCATACCTGGCTAATTTTTATATTTTGGTAGAGATGGGGTTTCACCATGTTGGTCAGGCTAGTCTTGAACTCCTCACGTCAAGCGATCAACCCCCACCTCGGCCTCCCAAAGTGCTGGGATTACAGGCATGAACCACCATGCCTGGCCTACTATATCTTTTCTATTATTAGATACACAAATACTTATAATTATCTTACAATTACCTATAGTATTAAGTACAATCACATGTGGTACAGGTTTGTAACCCAGGAGCAATAGATTATACCATATAGCTTAGGTGTATAGTTGGCTTATACCATCTAGATTTATGTAAATACACTGTGATGTTCACACAACAATGTAACAACCTAATGATACATTTCTCAGAACATATCTTGTCATTAAGCAACATGTAACTATATTTACAACTTAAAGTTTTGAGACTTTAATAGGCAATATTTCTTTTTTTCCTTGATAATTTTTAATTCTTGTTAGTTCAGCCAGAGAAAGGGATTTGAGACAACTGGTGTCCTCTTGTGCTTGAATTTACATTACTCAGTTGTAAGACTTTTAGAAGTTCAATGGTTAAGGCAGATCATGGTTTTCAAAACTTTGGCTATAAGGAAAAAAAAGATGCAGGCTAAATGCTAAATGATACTCTTTACTGTTTCATAGGAAACAGCAATAAAGTGTAAGTCATTTATCTTAGTCCTGAGTTAAATTTTGACACCTCTTTGTTTTTTTTTTCAAAAATTATGGTAAATATATACAATATAAAATTGTCTATTGTAACCATTTTTAAGTGTATAGTTCAGTGGCATTAAGTATATTCACGTTGTGCAACTATCACCACCATCTATCTTCAACATTTTTTCATCTTCTCAAACTGAAACTTACCCATTGAACAAAACTACTCATTCTTCCCTTCTCCCAGTCCCTGACAACTGCCATTCTCTTTCTGTTGCTATTACACAGCTGTAGGGACCTCATACAAGTGGAATCATACAGTATTTGTCCTGTGTCTTCAGTGTTCATCCATGTTAGTAGCATGCATCAGAATTTCATTCCTTTTAAGACTGAATAATATTTCATTGTTTGCATATACCACATTTTGTTTATCCATTTATTCATCGATGGACATTTGTTTTTTTCTCTTTAACAAAGTTGTTAATAAAACCCTATTTTATATTAAATAATGTTTTCTTTCCTTTCATATATTCAGACAGATTCTTTCAAAATGGGACAAGAGTTTGTGAAACGCTTCGCTAGCAGTGCAGACAAGCTAACTAACCTTAATCTGGTTTCCAGAACTTTAAATTTAGATATAACAAACCAAGTCGTATCCCAAAAACCTGCTGACTGCCATAATTCTAGTAAAACATCTGTTAGTGCCACATCAGAAGGACTCTTACTGCAAGATACCTCTAAGATTGAGTGCTTCAATCAAACACTTTCAACCCACAAAAGTAGTTATACAAGTTGCAATCCTCAGTCATACCACCTTCTTAGTAAAGAACAAAGAAGAACCAATCTTCGGAAAGAACCTTTAATATTTATGAAAGGAGTCATGGATGAATGTACTCATGTAGCAAATTTCTCAGGTATTAATTTTTATATGAAATTGAGAACATTTGCTGATGTGTAAATATTTGTGAAATATTTTAAAGAATGCTGTATAAGATAATTTTGTATTTTCAAAGGTATTTTTTTTGTTGTTGGCTACAGAATATGTGTGCAAAGATAAGTTGGTTACTTAAATGTATCGTATTCCAGCTATGAAATTTTAAGACTCTTATTCGTTAAAACACACATGGGATAGCCAGGTGTGGTGGCTCATGTCTGTAATCCCAGCATTTTGGGAGGCTGAGGCAGGTGGATTGCTTGAGCCCAGGAGTTCAAGACCAGCTTGGGTAACATGGTGAAACCTTGTCTCTACCAAAAAAAAAAAAGCAAGCAGTAGTTATGTGTGGTGGTACATACCTGTAGTTCCTGCTGCTTGGAAGACTGAAGTGGAAGGATGGCTTCAGCCAAAGTAAACAGTTTGCAGTGAGCCAAGATCACACCACTATACTCCATCCTTGGTGACCGAGCGAGACTCTTTCTCAAACACACCTACACACACACATACACACATACACTCTCTCTCTCTCTCTCTCTTTCTCTCTCTCTCTCTCTCTCTCTCTTTCTCTCTCGAGCTGAGCACAGTAGCTCACGCCTGTAATCCTAGCATTTTGGGAGGCTGCAGTGGGAGGATCGCTTGAGCCCAGGAGTTCAACACCATCCCAGGCAACATAGTGAGACACTGTCCCTAAAAAAAAAAAAAAATGTAAAAATTAGCTAGATGGCCAATCCTGTAATTACAGAATTACACACCTGTAATCCCAGCACCTTGGCTGAGGTGGGTGGATCACTTGAGGTCAGCAGTTTGAGACTAAGCCTGGCCAACATGGTGAAACCGTGTCTCTACCAAAAATATAAAAAATTAGCTGGGTGTAATGGTATGTGCCTCTAATCTCAGCTACTCAGGAGGCTGAGGCAGGACAATCGCTTGAACCCGGGAGATGGAGGTTGCAGCGAGCAGAGATCATGCTACTGCACTCCAGCCTGGGTGACAGAGTGAGACTCCATCTCAAAAAAAAAAAACTAGTTGGGTGCCGTGGCACATGCCTATAGTCCCAGCTACTTAGAGGCTGAGGCAGGAGGATCCCTTGAGTCTGGCGATTCAAGGTGGTAGTGAGCTATGATTGCACCACTGCACCCGAGCCTCTGTGACAAAGTGAGACTCCAGTGTCTCCAAAACAAAAAATCACACTGGATTGCTGAGTGTGGTGGCATTCACCTGTAGTCCAAGCTACTCGGGAAGTTAAGGAGGGAGGATCACTTGAACCCAAGAGTTCAAGACTGTAGTGTATTATGATCATGCCGGTGAATAGCCACTGTACTTCAGCCTTGGCAACATAGTGAGATCTCATCTTTAGATAAATTATTGAGGCAATGCATACCCCATGCACCCTGATGTGATTATTATGCATTCCATGCCTATATCAACATATGTAACCCATAAATATATATACCTATTGTGTACCCACACACACACAAAAGAAATAATTAATTTTTAAAAACCACAGTGGATATTGTATCATCTGTAGAATATTTATCTCATTATACTGGAGATGAGTAATGTGGCACATTATAGTTGATTTTTTTTTTTTTTTTTTGAGACGGAGTTTCGCTCTTGTTACCCAGGCTGGAGTGCAATGGCGCGATCTCGGCTCACCGCAACCTCCGCCTCCTGGGTTCAGGCAATTCTCCTGCCTCAGCCTCCTGAGTAGCTGGGATTATAGGCACGCGCCACCATGCCCAGCTAATTTTTTGTATTTTTTTAGTAGAGACGGGGTTTCACCATGTTGACCAGGTTGGTCTCGATCTCTCGACCTTGTGATCCACCCACCTTGGCCTCCCAAAGTGCTGGGATTACAGGCTTGAGCCACCGCGCCCGGCCTATAGTTGATTTTTAACTTAATCAAAAATTTTTAGTTTGACAGATGTTTCATTTACTGCATTGTGTGGTGTTTTGTTTTTTTTTTCTAATGTGTATATGTTTAATTTTTTTTTTTAATCCTATACCTAGTTCCAGTTGACCCAAGCCTCATTATAGTGGTTCAAGCCAAAGAAGATGCCTATATTCCACGAACAGGGGTTCGAAGTTTACAAGAAATTTGGCCTGGTTGTGAAATCCGATACCTAGAAGGGGGTCATATTAGTGCTTATCTTTTTAAACAAGGACTCTTCAGGTAAGATGACTAGTCTAAACAGGTATTTGTTCATCTGTTGCTTGTTTTCTGGATTTCTTTTGCTTCAACAAATAGATTAGATATTTTTATTGTCTGTTTCAATCTTCAAATTTCCTCCTCACCTCCCACAAATCTCACATTGAGTTATTTTTCTCTCTTTCCTAGAATTTCATCCTCTTTTATTTTCTTTTTCTCCTAGAGAACTAGACATGATGCTTATCATAGGCATGCTTTATCTTGTGGTTTTACCCTCTTCAAATATTAATGGCCAGGTATTTTAGGATGTGAGAAGGAAGATCATGGCTTGTTAAAGTTGCTTTGGTACATCAAGAGGTTTTTCATTCTATTCTGATGTTCTCTCAGAATGGCCTGAACATCCATGGGATAATTTAGCAATGTTTTTCAGTTAGCAAGTAAATATTGAACCTTAAATGTTGACCTTATATGATTCCACTATTTTAGTTAGAACTTATAAAAAACTTTTATGCCAAAACTATAATTTTCTGATATTCTGCATTATTGGAACATATTTGTATGTTATTAATGGTTAAATAAATTAGTTCACGTAAGTGGTTAGATCAGTGCCCTGTACATAAGTGTTCCAAGAAAACTGCCAACTACATAGCTATATAATAGAATAATTGTATGTGATATGTTTGACATGCTTTAGCTTTTGTTAACATAAGAAATAATTTTTGGCCGGGCGCGGTGGCTCACGCCTGTAATCCCAGCACTTTGGGAGGCCGAGGCGGGTGGATCACAAGGTCAAGAGATCGAGACCATCCTGGTCAACATGGTGAAACCCCGTCTTTATTAAAAATACAAAAAATTAGCTGGGCATGGTGGCGCGTGCCTGTAATCCCAGCTACACAGGAGGCTGAGGCAGGAGAATTGCCTGAGCCCAGGAGGCGGGGAGGTTGCAGTGAGCCGAGATCGCGCCATTGCACTCCAGCCTGGGTAACAAGAGCAAAACTCCGTCTCAAAAAAAAAAAAAAAAAGAAAGAAAGAAAGAATTTTTGTATGTTGTTACCTTTCTAGCTCAACATATAAATGTCACCTTTTTGAGAAATAGACCAATTCTAAAAGTCTGCCATGTCTTGAAGGATATAGTAAACCTTTCTTTTTTTTTTTTTTTTTTGAGGCGGAGTTTCACTCTTGTTGCCCAGGCTGGAGTGCTATGGCATGATCAGCTCACCGAAACCTCTGCCTCCTAGGTTCAAGTGATTCTTCTGCCTCAGCCTCCTGAGTAGCTAGGATTACAGGCCTGCACCACCACGCCCAGCTAATTTTGTATTTTTAGTAGGCATGGGGTTTCTCCACATTGGTCAGGCTGGTCTTGAACTCCTGACCTCAGGTGATCCACCTGCCCTGACCTCCCAAAGTGCTGGGATTACAGGCATGAGCCACCTCCCCTGGCCAAACCTTTCTTTTAATAGTGTGGTATTTTAAAAAGTATTTATTCAGCATTTGAGTCCCTATTGGTGAGTGAGCAGACTATCCAATACTCATTGACCCTCTGGCACAACAAAACTTAAACAAATAAACAAAAATCTTTGACTACCTAGGGTTGCTAGAGTTGCTTAAGAAGAGTCTAAAGTTCTATCATACATGTGAATACAGAGGACCAACGTGCATACATTAGTAAATTAGTATAAAATTTCTTTCACTCTTTTGTGTACCTAGGTCAGAGTATAGTTAAGAAGTATTGGCCAGGCCGGGCGCGGTGGCTCAAGCCTGTAATCCCAGCACTTTGGGAGGCCGAGGCGGGTGGATCACGAGGTCGAGAGATCGAGACCATCCTGGTCAACATGGTGAAACCCCGTCTCTACTAAAAATACAAAAAATTAGCTGGGCATGGTGGCTCGTGCCTGTAATCCCAGCTACTCAGGAGGCTGAGGCAGGAGAATTGCCTGAACCCAGGAGGCGGAGGTTGCGGTGAGCCGAGATCGTGCCATTACACTCCAGCCTGGGTAACAAGAGCGAAACTCCGTCTCAAAAAAAAAAAAAAAAGAAGTATTGGCCAGGCGCGGTGGCTCAAGCCTGTAATCCCAGCACTTTGGGAGGCTGAGGTGGGCAGATCACAAGGTCAAGAGATCGAGACCATCCTGGTCAACATGGTGAAACCCCGTCTCTACTAAAAATACAAAAAATTAGCTGGGCATGGTGGCACGTGCCTGTAATCCCAGCTCCTCGGGAGGCTGAGGCAGGAGAAGTGCCTGAACCCAGGAGGCGGAGGTTGCGGTGAGCCGAGATCGCGCCATTGCACTCCAGCCTGGGTAACAAAAGTGAAACTCCGTCTCAAAAAAAAAAAAAAAAAAAAAAAAAGACCGGGCGCGGTGGCTCAAGCCTGTAATCCCAGCACTTTGGGAGGCCGAGGCGGGTGGATCACGAGGTCGAGAGATCGAGACCATCCTGGTCAACATGGTGAAACCCCGTCTCTACTAAAAATACAAAAACTAGCTGGGCGTGGTGGCACATGCCTGTAATCCCAGCTACTTAGGAGGCTGAGGCAGAATTGCCTGAGCCCAGGAGGTGGAGGTTGCGGTGAGCCGAGATCGCGCCATTGCACTCCAGCCTGGGTAACAAGAGCGAAACTCCGTCTCAAAAAAAAAAAAAAAGTATTAGGATGAGATTTATAATCAAAATCAGATATAAAAACTCTAAAGTGCTATTATGAAGGCTTCATTTGAGAGAGAGAAATGTTAACTATTATCATGTGCCAGATGCTAGGGCAATTGCTCTGTTATTATCCCCTTTACACAGAATAAAGGGAACAAAAAAGATTAAGAAACTTGCTCATGTGGAGTCACTACTAAACTATTTGGCCTCTTCCATTCCCCATCAGTCACTTCAAAACTTAACAGATTGTTTCTTATGATCCGTGTTTGAAGTAAAAAAAAAACAGAGTTTAGATGCCATTGGAATAGTAGAATTCTTAAAAATTCAGTCTTTTCACACACCAAACATAAAAATAAAAGAAGCCAACAGGCATGGTGGCTCACGCCTGTAATTCCAGCACTTTGGGAGGCCGAGGTGAGTGGATCACAAGGTCAGGAGTTCGAGACAAGCCTGGCCAATATGATGAAACCCCAACTATGCTCAAAGTACAAAAATTATCTGGGTGTGGTGGCAAGTGCCTGTAGTCCCAGCTACTTGGCAGGCTTAGGCAGGAGAATTGCTTGAACCCGGGAGGTGGAGGTTGCAGTGAGCTGAGATCACACCACTGCACTCCAGCCTGGGCAACAGAGCGAGACTTCGTCTCAGTCAATCAATCAATAAAGCCATTCCTTTATGTGCTCTTAATATTTTGTGTTATTTACAGCTTATTGATAATACAAGTGAATAAGAGACTATTCAAATGATTAAAAAGGGACATGCCCTCTTCCTAACCCTTCTTATATCATGTATACAAGCCTAGATTGTAACTTTAGGCACCAGAAAGTAAACAAAGTCAGATTCATTCCACAAGAGCAACTGCCTGGAACTGAGGGAAAAAATTAGCTAGTGGTCAATAATTTCAGAGGTTTCTTTACTTCTGTCTTCAAACAAAATCTCTTTATGTGTTTACACCAACATGCAAATATCCACCTCTAATTTTTTTTCCCTTCTTGGGGATTCAGTATAATTCACAAGGAACAAACCCTTGAGCTAAAGAAAGACAAGCATGTTGGAAAACTATGTCTTCCCAATGTACTGGAAACAATATTAGCAAGCTATCAGTTTTAAAGATAATCGTAATATCTTTGTTAGGATGTGAGGAGATGCTTAGCTGAACAAGTGGGTTACAAAATTAACATTTCATAGTTATTTAAACTGGGTGAAAATATAGACATGCTTTTTTTTTTTTTTTGAGCCAGAGTCTCACTCTGTCACCCAGGCTGGAGTACAGTGATGCAGTCTCAGCTCACTGCATCCTCTGCCTCCCAGGTTCAAGCAATTCTCCTGCCTCAGCCTCCCTAGTAGTTGGGATTACAGACATGCACCACCACACCCAGCTAATTTTTGTATTTTTAGTAGGGATGGGGTCTCACCATTTGGCCAGGCTAGTCCCAAACTCCTACCTTGTGATCCAACCACCTCCAACATCCAAAGTGCTAGGATTACAGTTGTGAGCTCACCCACCGCACCTGGTCTAGATACGCTTTTTCTTAAAAGCCTGGAGGAAAGATATGAAAAGATTAACAGTAGATGCAAGTGATGGGATTATGATGTTTTCCCCATCCTATATTTTAGATTTTCTGAATATTCTGCTATGAAAATGTATTATACAATAGAAAAAAAAAAAAAACAGCTTTAGAGGCCAGCGCAGTAACTCATGCGTGTATTCCCAGCACTTTGGAAGGCCGAGGTGGGTGGATCAACTGAGGTCAGGAGTTCAAGACTAGCTTGGCCAACATGATGAAACCCTGTCTCTACTAAAAATACAAAAATTAGCTGGGTGAAGTGACAGGCACCTGTAATCCCAGCTACTCGGGAGGCTATGGCAGGAGAATTGCTTGAACCTGGGAGGCAGAGTTTGCAGTGAGCGAAGATCATGCCACTGCACTCCAGGCCTGGGTGACAGAGTAAGACCCTGTCTCAAGCCGGGCGCGGTGGCTCAAGCCTGTAATCCCAGCACTTTGGGAGGCCGAGGCGGGTGGATCACAAGGTCAAGAGATCGAGACCATCCTGGTCAACATGGTGAAACCCCGTCTCTACTAAAAATACAAAAAATTAGCTGAGCATGGTGGCACATGCCTGTAATCCCAGCTACTCAGGAGGCTGAGGCAGGAGAATTGCCTGAACCCAGGAGGCGGAGGTTGCGGTGAGCCGAGATCGCGCCAATGCACTCCAGCCTGGGTAACAAGAGCGAAACTCCGTCTCAAAAAAAAAAAAAAAAAGACCCTGTCTCAAAAAAAGAAAAAGAAAAGAAAAAGAAAAAACCGCTTTAGAAAAAAATACAAGTGGGGCGCAGGACTGTAGTTCCAGATATTCAACAGGCTGAGTTAAGATAGCTTGATGCCAGAGTTTGAGGCTGCAGTGTGCTATGATTGCACCTGAGAGTAACCACTGCACTCAAACCTAGGCAACATCGTGAGATCTTGCCTCTAAAAAAAAAAAAGAAGAGGGGCCGGGCGTGGTGGCTCAAGCCTGTAATCCCAGCACTTTGGGAGGCCGAGGCGGGTGGATCACGAGGTCGAGAGATCGAGACCAACCTGGTCAACATGGTGAAACCCCGTCTCTACTAAAAATACAAAAAAAAATTAGCTGGGCATGGTGGCGCGTGCCTATAATCCCAGCTACTCAGGAGGCTGAGGCAGGAGAATTGCCTGAACCCAGGAGGCGAAGGTTGCGGTGAGCCGAGATCGCGCCATTGCACTCCAGCCTGGGTAACAGGAGCGAAACTCCGTCTAAAAAAAAAGAAAAGGAACAGACAAATTTAATCTTCCGTACAATATTTTTTTCTTCTTTTTTTTTTTTTTTTTTTTTTTTTTTTTTTGAGACGGAGTTTCGCTCCTGTTACCCAGGCTGGAGTGCAATGGCGCGATCTCGGCTCACCGCAACCTTCGCCTCCTGGGTTCAGGCAATTCTCCTGCCTCAGCCTCCTGAGTAGCTGGGATTATAGGCACGCGCCACCATGCCCAGCTAATTTTTTTTGTATTTTTAGTAGAGACAGGGTTTCACCATGTTGACCAGGTTGGTCTCGATCTCTCGACCTCGTGATCCACCCGCCTCGGCCTCCCAAAGTGCTGGGATTACAGGCTTGAGCCACCACGCCCGGCTGTCTGTTCCTTTTCAACTGAAATATTAAAATACTGAAGTTAATGTAGGAAACCAAGGCTTTTAAGGAGCTAGGAACATGTTCATAGGAAATGAAAAACATCTGTATCATAATGTGTGAAACAGACTGTCACATTCTGAAAAGTGATAAGAAGACAAAAACTCAGTTCCTTTTTCTTTTCTAATTTATTTTATACACACACACACTCACATATCTGTGTGTGTGTGTGTGTGTGTGTGTATAAAATATATACTAAGGCACAAAAAAAGTGCTTCAGAAAAAGATAATGCTTCTACATCCATCGTAAGTTAGAAGTATATTTGAGGTTCTCTAGTAGTGGTGGTAAGGTTGCATGCCTCTGAGGCGGGCGGATCACTTGAGGCCAGGAGTTTGAGACCAGTCTGTCCAACATAGTGAAACCCCATCTCTACTAAAAATACAAAAGATTAGCAGGGTATAGTGATACATGCCTGTAATTCTAGCTAATTGGGGGGCTCAGGCATGAGAATTACTTGAACAGAGAAGCAGAGGTTGCAGTGAGCAGAGATCAGGCTACCGCACTCCCGCCTGGGTAACACAGCGAGACCCGGTCTCAAAAGAAAAAGCAAAAAAGTACATGGATTCAAACACCCCTTCTGGGGAGGATAATTGCCTTTTTCATAGCGATTTAGAGAGGAGGTCAGGTTGCAAGTCCTAGATAAATTTGGAAATAACTTACAGTAAAGGCATTGTCTGTCTCCTCTTTTTGCTAGTTACTTAGAGTTTTTCTTTCATATTTAATTTTAGACAAGCCATCTATGATGCATTTGAACGCTTTCTCCATAAATACCCTAACTAATTGGATCATTATATGTAACCAGTGTGGCCATGGTGTTTCTTACAAAAGGAAGCTTCATCCTATGATGATGTGAAGGACAAGCAGACAGCGCTATATATCTAATTGCTATCAATGTAGTCTGGAATTCATTGTTAAAGATCAGTTAATGATAAATTTTGAATACATTTGAATAATTTGAAGACAATATTTGAAGTAAATAATGTTAAGGTATTTTTATTATTGTTTATTGGAATCCCATATACTCAATATTTAATCTGTTGTTACTATTTATAAAAACTAAATTTTTAATCATGAATAATTTAATTTAAATAAATTTATTCATAGAAACCCTTCCGGTTTTTAATAAAATTGCTAAATCAAACCAAGATTTTAATATATCAGCATTTACCTTATACCCTTATATTATAACATTTCACTATTGACTTGATTTGAGAAACATGTTTATTTCTTTTTTGAATGTATGGTGAATTCATAGTCTTGTGTTCAACTTCAGCCAATTTTCTGCTGTGGAAATAAATACTTATGATGTATAAAAATCAGTGTTAACTTTGAATTCTAAAGTATCCTGCCAAGCTCACACCATTGTACTCCATCCTGGGCAACAAGAGCGAAACTCCATCTCAAAAAATAATAATGATCAAAGTGAATGTCTGCAGATAAAACCATTAGACCTTGTTAGAGTTTAAAACTTTACCAAAAATTAGGGATTTTTAAAAATGCCAATAGGCCGGGCGCCGTCGCTCATGCCTATAATCCCAGCACATTGGGAGGCCAAGGAAGGTGGATCACAAGGTCAGGAGTTTGAGACCATCCTGGCCAATATGATGAAACCCATCTGTACTAGAAGTACAAAAATTAGCCGGGTGTGGTGGCTCACACCTGTAATCCCAGCACTTTGAGAGGCTGAGGCGGGCAGATCACTTGAGGTCAGGAGTTCAAGACCAGCAAGGCCAACATGGTGAAACCTCATCTCTTCTAAAAATACAAAAAATTAACCAGGCATTGTGGTGTGTGCCTGTAATCTCAGCTACTCAGGAGGCTGAGGCAGGAAAATGGCTTGAACCTGGAAGGTAGAGATTGCAGTGAGCCTTGATCGTGCCACTGCAGTCCAGCCTGGGCAACAGAGCAAGACTCCATCTCAGCCCGGCGTGGTGGCTCAGGCCTGTAATCCCAGCACTTTGGGAGGCCGAGGCAGGTGGATCACGAGGTCAAGAGATCGAGACCATCCTGGTTAACATGGTGAAACCCCGTCTCTACTAAAAATACAAAACATTAGCTGGGCATGGTGGCACGTGCCTGTAATCCCAGCTACTCAGGAGGTTGGGGCAGGAGAATTGCCTGAACCCAGGAGGCGGAGGTTGCGGTGAGCCGAGATCGCGCCATTGCACTCCAACCTGGGTAACATGAGCAAAACTCTGTCTCAAAAAAAAAAAAAATTAGCTGGACATGGTGGCTGGGGCCTATAGTCCCAGCTACTCAGCAACTGAGACAGGGGAATTGCTTGAACCCAGAAGGCAGAAGTTGCAGTGAAGCCGAGATCGTGCCACTGCACTCCAGCTTGGGAGACAGAGCAAGACTCTGTCTCAAACAAAACAAAACAAAATGCCAAACTTATTTTCCCCTACTAAAAAAGTTTTAATTCACAAAAAAATGGAAACAATGGAAGACCTGTTGCATTAACTGATGGATACTGTGTTTGACATATTCTTTTTTTTTTTTTTTTTTTTTTTTTTTTGATACAGGGTATCACTCTATTGCCCAGGCTGGAGTGCAGTGCCATCTCAGTGCACTGCAACCCCTGCCTCTCAGGTTCAAGTGGGTTTTCTGCCTCAGCCTCCTGAGTAGCTGGGATTACAGGTGCCTGCCACCACGCCCAGCTGATTTTTGTATTTTAGTAGAGATGGGATTTCATCATGTTGGCCAGGCTGGTCTTGAACTCCTGACCTCAGGTGATCCACTGCTTCAGCTTCCCAAAGTGCTGGGATTATAGGCATGAGCCACCACACCTGGCCTGAAGTTTTATTTTCATTTATTAAATTTTTTTATATGCATACTCTTTGGATTGCTAACCATCTAACTACCCAAAGACTTAACAGCTTTGGCTTTTTAATTTCAGAATTTAATAGACACATATGTAATTGATTTGTCCCATATAAACTTTATTTTCCAGAAAATAAAGTTTTATGTAACAGCTATTAACTCTTTTTTGGGGGGTTATATGGCTAGGTTTGGTGCTTTCTTTTTTTTTTTTTTTTTTGAGATGGAGTTTCGCTCTTGTTACCCAGGCTGGAGTGCAATGGCACAATCTCGGCTCACCGCAACCTCCGCCTCCTGGGTTCAAGCAATTCTCCTGCCTCAGCTTTTGTATTTTTAGTAGAGACGGGGTTTCACCATGATGACCAGGATGGTCTCGATCTCTCGACCTCATGATCCACCCGCCTCGGCCTCCCAAAGTGCTGGGATTACAGGCTTGAGCCACCGCGCCCGGCCGGTGCTTTCTTTTTATGTTAAACTTCTCTAGCTGACAACTAAAATGTTAAAAAGTAGAAAATATTTTGGAGTATTGTGTGAAGTTTTACAATAGGTATATTTGAGTTTTGTTTGAAATCTGTGTTGTCTGTGAATTTTTTTTTTTTTTTTTTTTTTTTTTGAGACGGAGTTTCACTCTTGTTACCCAGGCTGGAGTGCAATGGCGTGATCTCAGCTCACCGCAACCTCCACCTCCTGGGTTCAGGCAATTCTCCTGCCTCAGCCTCCTGAGTAGCTGGGATTACAGGCACGTGCCACCATGCGTAGCTAAGTTTTTGTATTTTTAGTAGAGACGGGGTTTCACCATGTTGACCAGGATGGTCTCGATCTCTTGACCTCGTGATCCACCTGCCTCGGCCTCCCAAAGTGCTGGGATTACAGGCTTGAGCCACCGCGCCCGGCCGAATTATTTTTAAATAGATAATCTTAGCTTAGTAAAGATATTTGAATTATTATGTGCCTTTGCAGTCTTTTTAAAGGAGATTTCATTTGTTACTCTAATGGCTCTATCTTGATTTTTTTACAAACATTTATAAATTATTAATGTGAAATTATTGATCGTAGACAAAGTAGTAACTCCTTTCAAATTACTTTGGCACAACAAGCCAACACTGTACATCTCTTTGAGCTATAAGCAGTTCTACGTGTTCAGAAGAAAACCTTTAGTTTTAACTGAAAGTACAAAATCTAATAAAGTTCTTCCACAAAATACTCTTTAAACTTGTTAACTGAATTACAATTTTCTTACATATATAGTGAGGTTATATGATTGAATGCTTTTCGAACAATGGTTTTAGTAAAACCAATACTTTATTATTGTTCACATAAATATTTCTTACTAAGCAATAATGTACTATGGTATAGTAAAAAATGAAATTTTGTTGGTAAAAAAATGAAATTTTGATTTGGTTTTAATTAACTCTTAGGCATAACTAATTTTTCCCAAATAAAGTGTGAAAGAAGGTATTTTTAGAATTTCATCTCCTTTTTTTTTTTTTTTTTTTTTTTTTTTGAGACGGAGTTTCGCTCTCGTTACCCAGGCTGGAGTGCAATGGCGCGATCTCGGCTCACCGCAACCTCCGCCCCCTGGGTTCAGGCGATTCTCCTGCCTCAGCCTCCCGAGTAGCTGGGATTACTGGCACGTGCCACCATGCCCAGCTAGTTTTTTGTATTTTTTTAGTAGAGACGGGGTTTCACCATGTTGACCAGGATGGTCTCGATCTCTTGACCTTGTGATCCACCCGCCTCGGCCTCCCAAAGTGCTGGGATTACAGGCTTGAGCCACCGCGCCCGGCCTGAATTTCATCTCTTAACCAGATGTTTTAAGAATATATCCCTAGCCGGGCGCGGTGGCTCAAGCCTGTAATCCCAGCACTTTGGGAGGCCGAGGCGGGTGGATCACGAGGTCAAGAGATCGAGACCATCGTGGTCAACACGGTGAAACCCCGTCTCTACTAAAAATACAAAAAATTAGCTGGGCATGGTGGCACGTGCCTATAATCCCAGCTACTCGGGAGGCTGAGGCAGGAGAATCGCCTGAACCCAGGGGGCGGAGGTTGCGGTGAGCCGAGATCGCGCCATTGCACTCCAGCCTGGGTAACGAGAGCGAAACTCCGTCTCAAAAAAAAAAAAAAAAAGAATATATCCCTAAAACTACCTCAGTTGATAAATTTGAAGTACAGAATACCTTTTCTTAGAATTTTTAAATATATTTCCCCCAAAATGGTAGCTTAAGTGGTCTCATATATAATCTCAAAGAAGTGCAGTCTGCCATTGTCTGCCATTTTGAGGATTAGGTACTACATAAAATGTTAGAAATTTATTTAGACCAGAGTTGTAAACTGGTAGTTCACATAGGCCATTTTGACTCACAGTTGTTTTATTTGATGTATGTAATGTTTCAGAATTTTTTGAATTTGGAAAGTCTTTCAGTTGGGCATGCACTCCCCAGTTTGCCACTGCCTACTGGACTTCCCTCTTGTACTAGGCAACTTCTCTGCTTTGTAGTTCCTCCTCAGCCCTGAGGACCTCTAAGTTTGAGACCCCTGATTTAGATCTGTAGTTAGAAGAAGCTTCTGAATGTCATCATTTGTTAATGTCATTATTGTTAAGTCATTTTAGCATGTGCATTGTAGATTGCTTCTTTGAATGTATTTTTTAATGTGGTGCTTTCTCTCATAAAGATCACTGAATTGTTAGCACTGTAATTGAAATTTTAAAAATCATTTCCAAATATTTTATATTTCATAATAAAAGTCTATTTAAAAAGCTAATCATTTGTGCTTTTTTCAAGAGGTATTACTGTAAATACAGTAGACACATGTCACATTTGATTAGTATACCCAAACTTGAACTTAGTGTATATGTTCCCTGTTAGTTATTATGCCCTAAGCAAGGTAAGACAGAAATAAGCAAGGGACGCTCTAGCAGAACAGTATCAGTATCTCTATAAAAATGACCAAATTTTTCCCCAGATATGTGTGATCTCAGGGAAATACACATTCTGACAGACCGTAGTTATCTCAATGTTGATCAGTATTGAATGAGGTTACATTTACACTCGTAAATAAATATATTGCAAACAAAATCTAGAGATTTGGTTAGACTGGGAATGGGAGTCTTGGGCGGAGTCTCCTATACATTCATTAATAATAGTAACTGATTTTGGACTGGGTGCGGTGGCTCACGCCTGTAATCCCAGCACTTTGGGAGGCCGAGGTGAGTGGATCACGAGGTCAAGAGATCGAGACCATCCTGGTCAACATGGTGAAACCCCGTCTCTACTAAAAATACAAAAAATTAGCTGGGCATGGTGGCGCGTGCCTGTAATCCCAGCTATCAGGAGGCTGAGGCAGGAGAATTGCCTGAACCCAGGAGGCGGAGGTTGCGGTGAGCCGAGATCGCGCCATTGCACTCCAGCCTGGGTAACGAGTGAAACTCTGTCTCAAAAATAAATAAATAAATAAAATAATAGTAACTGAGTTTGGAAATGTGAGGAAAGATTATG